TTACTGGATAAGATGTATCATTTCATTTGCTAAATATTTAGTTTTTAAAGTTTTATTTTTGTTTATGTTTGAGAGAGGGAGAGAGTGCGTACACACATGTGAGCAGGGGAGGGGCAGAGAGAGAGGAGGGACAGAGGATCTGAAGCGGGCTCCATGCTGACAGCAGAGAGCCCAATGCAGGGCTTGAACTCATGAACTGTGAGATCATGACCTGAGCTGAAGTCAGATGCTTAACTGACTGAGCCACTCAGGCACCCCTAAATATTTGAGACCCACTTCCATGTTTTTTAGGCCAGGGAAGAGTGTGGGCAAAAGAAAAGATGTATGAAGGAAAAATGATAAACTACTGGTATAAGTAGTTTGATGTCTCTGGAGCATAGCCTGTGAGAGAATGATAGGAGAGAAGCTGGAAAGTAGAATGGGATCAGATCATAAAAGTCTTTGACTAGGCAGTTCTTGTTTCAGCTTACTTAGGTAAAACACAGTAAAGTGCATTAAGTTTAAGCCAACATCTCAATTTTTACATATGTATATAAATCCATACAATCACCACCCGGATCAAGACCTAAAACATTTCCAGCATTCCAGAAGTTTCCTTCATGCCTTTCCCAGTCAATCCCCATCCTCAGAGGGAACTACTATTCTGGCCTCAGTTGCTGTTTATTAGTTCTGTCTGTTCTTAAACTTCAGAGAAGTGGACTTGTACAATTTTAGCATTTTTGTGTTTGGCTTCTTTTACTCAATGTGATGGTCATGAGATATCTTGTGTTGTTGAACGTCTGAGATTTTGTTCATTTTATTGCTCCATAGTATTCCATTGAATGAATATCCAGCAATCTGCTTATGCATTTTCTAGTTGACGGCCATTGGGGTTATTTCCAGTTTTGTGCTAGTGTGACTATAGCTATTATGAACATTCTTGTACATGTCTTTTGGTGAACATGTGTACTCATTTCTCTTGGGTATATACCTAGAAGTGTGTAGGCACGTTTTTGTCTTAGTAGCTACCGCCCAACAGTTCTCCAGAGTGGTTGCATCAAGGGAGTTTTGACTTTAGCCTGAGGAAGACTGGAAACAGTGGGATGAAATTTCCATTTTACTCTGGCATCCCCTATGGAAGATGGGTGAGACTGTAGACAGACTAGTAAGGAATCACAGACTAGGAGTAATAGACCAGGTGAGGGATGATGAGGCCCTGAATTCTGGAGGCTTGCATGGAGGGAGAGGATGGTTCTGAGAGATGATAAGAAGATAGACTTGACACAGTTGTTTGCATGTAGTAGGGAGGGAATGGAGTCTAGGATGGCCGCCAGGTCTCTGACTTGGTGTTGGCAGAATGGTGGCACCCTTCTCTGAGAGAGGGAGCACTTAGAAAGGAGCAGGTTTGAGGCAGAAGATGAGCTCTTTTTTGAACATCTTGAATCTGAGAGACCTATGTGAGATCAAGGTGGAGGTATCCAGTAAGCAATTGGATACATGGAACTGAAGTTATGGGAAGAGATCCAAGCTGGATATTTCTGTTATGGAAACAAGGGAATGGGTGAACTTTCAGGAAGGGGGTGTAGAAAGAGGATCCCAGAAAGATGATTGAGAAGGCATTTCCTGAGAGGTGGGAGAAAAATCAGGAGCTTGGCCTGCTGTGATGAAAATCCAGGGAAAAGGAGTTTGCAAAAAGAGTTTCCAAAAGCTGCTGAGAAATAAAAAAAGATGGGCATTGAAAGGGGTCCAGTGAATACAGAGTTTAACCTAGCCATACATGGTGCAGAGGCACCCAGGGTCTTCTGTCTCCACAGTCTTTCTGTGCTAGAAGCCCACACGGGTGAGATGGGCTGATTGGGGCTATCTTCCCTCTGAGGTCTTGTTCACTGGCCTCTCAGCCTGAGGCAAGGGAGAAGGAGAGGAGGAGGGAGATACAGCCTCAGTCTAGGGACAGTGGCTGTGGCCTCTCAGAGAAGTTTGTGGAGACCTCAGCTGGACAATAGAGGGCAGATGGCAGCTAGTGCAGGGCTCACCAAGTCCCTCCTGACATTGGAACACTGAAAACATTGACATTTGAACACAAATTTCCCCTGGAGCCTTTCCCCTATGGAAATTTCCAGTTGTAAACCATACTGACTTTAATCTGAAGTGTCAGAAAGGTTGCCCAGGAGTCTGGGAGCCAACCAGCTGAAAGCACATTTGTGTGGAAGTCGGGGCAAACAAAATAGGATTCAGAACATTTTTTGAGATTTGCGCCAGTGGTGAACTTTTCCAGGAAACATGACAAAACTGACCCTCTTAAGCAAAACACTGGGTCTTATCATAATTAATTTGTATTCTTCCTGAAACATAAACTTGGGGAAATGGTGAAGGGAAAGAACAGCACATGTCTTATTTCTTTACCAGGCACAAGGGGCTGGAGGAGGCTCCATAGAGTTTAATGGGCAGCTTTATGTATTTCTATGCTTTGACTGGAGCTAAAGAGGTCTGTGCCACACAATGGGCAGTTTCTAGTTGGATTTTAAAAGAAAATAACTTTGATCATTTCAAAAGCAATGAAGCCTGATGCAGCGAAGAGAAAAGAAAGCGGTAATTTATGGCTACCATTAAGGACACAAAGACAAAGGCGGAGGGAACATTTCACTAAGTGAAGATTTACAAATGTGTAAAAACCATCCTTATGACTAAAAATAGCGGAGTGTCTCTCGGTACCAAACAAAAGGGGATAGGAGGGAGGGGCAAAGACAGAAAGAGGGATGCAACCTGCCTGCCTTCACTGGGGATGAAAAGGTCAAAAGAAAAACAACCACAGAAAAGTTATTTTCTCAGATTCTCCATCAGGCAGCAGCACTAACAATGAAGGCCCAAAGAGGCAGTCTTCACCTAGGCCCATGGGCATGGGAAGGACAGGGGCCGCAGTCGGGGTGTAGTGCTACAGAGTGGAGAGCTCTGGGAAGGGCATGGACCCCAGGAAGACATGTTTTTGTGCATGAGTTAGGTGGGTATTTTTTGTGATGTTTATTTTTTTTCTGATTACCAAAGGTGTGTTTGTGTGTGTGAATAGATAGATCTATATATACACTATTCATATATATCCATTATTGAATTTTCTCCTGTAAATATATACACACATACACATACATACGTATGTATGTATGTATGTATGTATGTATGTATGTATGTATGTATATTTACAGGAGAAAATTGGATAAAGAGGAGCTCTGATTAAAACCACTCAGTATTTTCTTGCATCTCGAAATTGTAGCGGCATTTGTTCCTGGAGTGATGCTGAGTGTAGTGGGCTCTGTCATCCGTGGCAAGGGGGGTATGGGAAGTCCCTGTATACATGGGTTCCCTTGTAAGGACTGTCTTGCTTGGAGGGCCAGCTCACATTTGCCACCTGCATCTGCAGCTGGCCCAACTGACATTATGAGTTCAGGTGGTCATAGATACCATCTGTGCCTCAGGCAAAATTGGTGGTTTCTTGTCCTTGGTGCTCACCTTTGACCTCTAGCCCCCTTTCCCTTCACGTTTTGGCTGCCCTGTACATACACATTGAACTAGTGTTCAGTGAGATGAGCATCTTCTGCTGTGATTCCTGGCCCATTAGTGCACCAGAGAGGCACAGTCTAAGCAAGTGCCTCAGTGGGACAGGTGGGACACTGCCTGGGGCTGGGGATCACAGAAGGCTTGGGCTGGACAGAATGGAGAAGGGTGCAGAGTGTGTGTGAAGGTGAGCAGGGAAGCTGGGGTTGTCTCCCCTGAATCTCCTGAGGGTTCAACCACATTACTCACCCCAAGTGGAGAGGTGGGAAAGCCCTACAGGTGGCCTTGGAGTTCAGGGAGTATAGGATTCTGAGCTACACAGGACACTTTCTGGGAGCCTCGAATATTTCAGGCCAGAGTGCTATTTGTCCTCACAAAGAGGGACTGGGTCAAGTTGTAGGGCACTGCAAACAGGCAGAGCACGAGGCTCTGAGGGCTGGAACGGAGCAGCGGGGGTGCAGGAGCAGCGGGTTTGGCGACGGGGCCTGCACTGGGGACGCTGACAGCAGCCCTCCGGCCACCACGGCCGCGCCCCCTCCACCCCGAGCCCGGAGGGGGAAGGGAGGGGGACGGGAGGGGAGGCACTGCCCCCCGCGCCGCCCGCCCCGGCCCGGGGAGGACCGTGTGAAAATGAGGCCGGGGCTCGGGGGCCGGGCGGGGCCGGGCCGGGGGTGTCAGAGCGCGGCGGGCAGGGCGCCCGCACACACCTCCCGGAGCCGCCGCCACGCTCGCCGCCTCTGCCCGCAGCCGCCGCGCCATCCATGGGGGTCTTGGGCCGCGGCTGCCCCGGGACGGCCGGGGCGCTGCTGCCGCTGCTGCTGCCGCTGCTGCTGACCGCGGCCGTCCCGCCCGGCCGGAGCCGCGCCCCAGGGCCGCCTGAGGGTGAGTGTCCGCACCTCCGGAGCCTCGGGGACGCACCTGGCAGGGGCATGCGGAGCCGGCGGCGGGAAGGGGTCCCGGGTCCCCTGGTGGGGTCGCGCCGCGCTGGCCCGCCCCGGGCTCGGCTGCGGAAGCTCCGCGTGGCCCCCGCTCCCCTGGGGCCTCACCCGCGGGCCAGGCCACGGAACCACCACCGCTTGGGCTAGAGGCCCAGGGCCTGAGTGCTGCGGCCCGGCCTCGGACACGGGGGTAATGACAGTTCCCAGCCCGGTCCCGCCGCCCGGGGTCCCTGGAGAGCGCCTGCTAGTCAGACTCTCACCCGCTGAGAAAGACGGAGGGCACCGGAGTCACCGGGGTCCGGCTCCTCATTGTGTAGATGGGGAAACTGAGGGCCCCGGGCGGGGTACGTCCGTGAGGTCTCGGCAGCTTTGCTCCTTCTTTTCTTCTGGGGCCGGGAAGTTCGGCCGGCTTCAGGGTTGGCTCCGGAGAGTTTTCTGCCGGTTGAGGATCCATCCGGGAATACCCCGTAAGCTGCAACAAACCTGGGTTTTTTGTTTTGTTTCGTTTTGTTTTGTTTTCTGCTGACAGAGAAAAGTACTCTGGACGTTCTGTATTAACAGGACTCGTAATATTTTCAAAACTTTTGTTTTTAATTAACATCCTGGAGTGGTGTCAACCCAGGAAATACTTCCACCAAGGCCGGTTTCCAGGTTGACAGGGTGAGCAGCTGGTTGATGGGGTGTGGGAACCATTCCCACTTTGCACCTCCATCTGAGGGCTGGGGATGGTGTGGTCAGAGCCCAGGGCAAGCTACTCCCCCATCCCCCAAACCCTGAGAAAGCTGACATTGCCTGGTTTTCACAGTGTTTTGTTTTGTTTTGTTGCCAAACTGGTCTTTCCTTCAACAGGCATTTGTTATTGCCTACTCATGTGCCAGGCACTGTGCTTGGCATCAGGGACACCCACTCAGTCTGTAATCAAGACACCATTTAGAGGGGAGGTCAGGCAGGAAAACAGAGAGTGACAATTCTGTGTGATATGTGCTATGAAAGGAGATAAATATGGGAGCAGGTCGTGGAGGACACCCACCTACACTGGGGGATCGTGGTAGGCTTCTTGGAGAAGGTGAGTGAAAAGGGTGTGTGGGTGTGTGTGTGGGGGGGTGTATTCTAGTCAAAGGGAACAGGCTGTGCCTGGGAAAGGAGCCTGGAAGTGGTATGGTTCATCCCGGGGTTCCCAAAGAGTTTAGCTGATGAGGAGTGAAGGGGGGGGGGTTCTGGTGGGAGGTGAAGCTACCAGAGGACCAAGGCCGGATCACAGAGGGCTTGGGGCACCATACCAAGTGCTTGCTATGCTCTTTTGCAGATGTGGACGAGTGTGCCCAAGGGCTAGATGACTGCCACACCAATGCCCTCTGTCAGAATACACTCACCTCCTACAAGTGCTCCTGCAAGCCTGGCTACCGAGGGGACGGCAGGCAGTGTGAGGGTAAGTGACTGGGGTACCTGTGGTGAGTGGGCCAGCAGGTGAAGCTCCCTACCTCCTCAGCACTTGTAGTGACCACTCATGTTGGTAAAAGTGCTGCTCCTCTGCCCCCCCCAGGTCATACCACCCACCCCCAAAATCCATTTCAGACCCTTAAAGCACTAGGAACATCAGGTCTTTCCTAGAGCTGATCATACAGTTTTATGTGGTTCCGAAATGTCCTTTTGTCTGGCTTGTGAAAAAGAAAAGAAGTGCTTTAGTATTTTTGGTGCCTATCAGTTTGGGAGCAGAAAGCCCCAATCAGGAGAGCCGTGCCTGCCAGGGAAGGGCTGATCCTGCGCCTCCCTGGGGCAGTTTACACCCTCGCCCAGGAGTCTGAGTGCAGGAGTCTTGCCCTCCACTGCTGGCTCTGGAGGCTCCATCTTGTTCTTGGCTTCAGGCTGGCGTTGTGACCTCCCAAACTTTAGAGGTACACCAAGCGCCAGCCTTATTTGAAGCTGCATGTTCACCCTGGAAAGATGTAGGCAGAGGGATACCTTGAGCCCTTGGAGTTCCAGATCTTTGAGCTAAAGTCTGATCTCTGTCATCCTGTGTTCTGGGCCAGTGTCATGAATTCTGAAATTCAGAACTAGCCAGAGACTGGGTACTGAAAGGAGGAGGCTATTCCTGGGGATGGAAATCATGGCATATTGGAACTGGCGGGGCTCTTCAGGGGAGCTCTGACATTCCTATCCCTCAGATGTGAGACCCTGAGGCCCCTGGGGAATTGAGAGGGGGGCTTGTGGCCATAATAACACAGTTAAAAGAAAAGTGAAAGAAAGTCAGACGTCTACCCTATCTCTGTCCCTGGACCCATATCTCTTGTATTCACTCAGCCTCCTGATGTCCTTCTTTGGTGAGAAATCCTGATATTTATACTTTGTGCATGAGGAGCAAAACTTGCCTCTCCTATCAGAGGAGACATGCTCCTGGTCAGGTTCGTAGCAAATGGGGTTGGTAGTCTATCCTTAAAGCCCTTGTGTTTCTTCAAGTTCGTGTTTTCCCAGAGATAGGCAGCCATCTCTCACCGAAAGACTACCTCTCCCTGAGACATCTCTCTGCAGGTTCCTCCATACCACACTCTCACTGTATTAAATATTCTATTTACAGTACTGGAATTCACACATGTTGGTACCCTGCTTGGGGGAAAAATGTTCACTCTTTCACTGGTTTTCCAGTCACTGTATACTCTCTGGGGGTGGAGATGGGCAGAAACTGTGCTATGGTTTCTTTGAGTTAGAATACATATTTAGTAAATGATGTTGAATGACAAGTGGCAGGAATTTCCTTATTCTTAGCTGTTGGGCTTGACGTATGACACATGGAATTGAATTGCTGACAGTTTATAGCTGAAAAGCCTACTATTTAGCTTAAAATAACTAAAATGATTGACTGGAATTGTTGCTTTTATATATTTAAATTGGCTCTAAAATGATAATATGTATTATTGGAATAAAAGTCAAACAATACAGAAAATGTATGAAATAGTATCTTTTATTTATTTATTTTTAAGTTTACTTATTTATTTTGAAAGAGAGAATGAGAGAGCATGCCATGAGTGGGGGAGGGAAAGAGAGAGAGAGGGAGAAAGAATCCCAAGCAAGCTCCCTGCTGTCAGCACTGCATCCTACCAGGGACTGATTGAAGGGCTTGATTGAAGGGCTTGATCTCAGGACTGTCTCAGGGCTCAATCTCACAAACCATGAGATCGCGACCTGAGCAGAAATCAAGAGTCTGATGCTTAACCAACTGAGCAACCCACGAGCCCCTAGAGGGGTTTGATCTTTTAAATGCTTGTAATACTTTTGAATACATATGAAGTTATGTTTTTTCATTATAAGAATTGATATGGTAGGAATTGACACAATAAGTGAATGTCCTGTGTTTCCTCACAATAAAATTAAGGTTATGCATTTGTAGTAATACACAAAGTAAAAGTAAAAAGTAAAAGAAGCTTTTGTCAAGGCTACTATGGAAGTGCTATTATACACTTTTTAGTGCATTACATGGGGAGGAGACACATGATGTTAATATGTCCCACTACTGGTGATATTAACCTTGATCACCTGGTTAAGATGGTGCATCCTGAGGGGAAAAAAGTTACAAACAGAGATGGAGGCAAACCATAAGAGACTCTTAAATACAGAGAACAAACTGAGGGTTGATGGGTGGGGAGGGCGGGGAAAATGGGTGATGGGCATGAAGGAGAGCACTTGTTGGGATGAGCACTGGGTGCCGTATGTAAGTGATGAATCATGGGAATCTGCTCCTGAAGCCAAGAGCACACTGTATACACTGTGTATTAGCTAACTTGGCAATAAATTATTAAAAAAAAAAAAAGATGGTGCATCCTGGGTTTCTCTGTTGCAAAATTACTATTTTTTCTTTTTGCAATAACACATATCTTAGGGTAGATACATTCAGCCTGTGCTAATACTCTGTTACTTCTCAAGTATTTTTTTTAATCTTTTTAAAAAATGTTTGTTTATTTTTGTAAGAGAGAGAAAGCACAAGCAGGGGAGGGGCAGAGTGAGAGGGAGACACAGAATCCGAACTAGGCTCCAGGCTCTGAGCTGTCAGAGCAGAACCAGATGCAGGGCCCCAACCTACAAACCATGAGATCATGATCTGAGCTGAGCTTAGCCAACTGAGTCACCAGGAGCCCCTCTTCTCAAGTCTTTGCCCACTGATTTTGGCATCCAACTGTGGATCTTGTCTGCAACAATTATTACTATGATGTAATAATTGGTAATTTTGTATTTCCCTCATTCCATATACATCTATTAACTGAGATTCTTCTGTAAGGAAGACTTGTTGCTTCTCCCCCATTTATTTATGCATTGACTTATGTATTTATGCCAGTATGGACTGGTAGATATTTAATTATATATATAGTTATTTGTTTTGGGCTCAAATTGTTTCAGCTTTAGCCATTGGGAGCTCCTTCACATTGTTTCCTGTGTCCTTTTGACATGCCCCCATCCTTTTTGGGGGCAATTCTTTGTTTTCTGGTACCATAAGATACCACAGACTCATCTTGTATTTTCCCTTCCCAGCCCTGGAACCAACCACTTCTTTAAGGAGCCCTGGTTTCTTTTATTGGAAAATGGTATATAGAAACCAAGATCTGAATGCTTGGTGTTCTTACTGTTACTGGGATGTCACTGCTCCTAGGCTATCTCACTGCACAAAATTAGGAAACATATGTATGTATTCTAACCCACATATACACATTTATCTATATTTATTGCTTATATTTATCCATTTGTATATATATTAAAAACAATGACTTACACTGATGATGCTTTGGATTCCAAAACAATGCCACAAGATTCATTGAATCTCCCTCTTTGGTTATTCATAACTTCTTTTTCCAACAGTGAGAACGGTGGCTCTCATTTTCTGCAAGATAGTTACTTGTTTGTTGAATCCAAGTGTACACATAAATAATTTACAACACTATTAATCTATAGCCTTGCAAGTAAAACAGATTTACGAGAGTACAGTATCTGTTTGTAGCTATCTTTATTTTTAGCCTTACAACATTCAGTTAATATATTGGTTTTCAAATTTTTTTTTTTCAACGTTTATTTATTTTTGGGACAGAGAGAGACAGAGCATGAACGGGGGAGGGGCAGAGAGAGAGGGAGACACAGAATCGGAAACAGGCTCCAGGCTCCGAGCCATCAGCCCAGAGCCTGACGCGGGGCTCGAACTCACGGACCGCGAGATCGTGACCTGGCTGAAGTCAGACGCTTAACCGACTGCGCCACCCAGGCGCCCCAATATATTGGTTTTCAGAGTCACTTGGTGTTAGTACTTTTTTTTTCTACATTTCCTTCAGTGTGGTTGTTATTCATTTGTAATACAGTTGAGTTCATTTGTTTCTGTTTGTACCCTATTTTTTATGTGTTCTTCCCCCACCTCTGTATACTAGATTATATATGTATGTACATAAGAAGATGTGTATTTACTTATGTATATATGTATGTATTCATCTATGTATCACTATGGTGCTGAGAGTCAAAACTATATAAAAAGGCATACTCAGGGGCGCCTGGGTGGCTCAGTCGGTTAAGCGTCTGACTCTTGGTCTTGGTTCAGGTCATGATCTCACAGTTTGTGTCATTAAGCCCCACATTGGGCTCTGTGCTGACAGTGTGTAGTCTGCTTGAGATTCTCTCTCTCTCTCTCTCTCTCTCTCTCTCTCTCTCTTTCTCTCTCTCTATTTAAAGTTTAAATAAACTTTAAACATAAAATAGAATAAAATAAAATTAAATTAAATTAAAAGGCATTACTCCTTCTCCCTATTCTTGTTCCTCTGTTCCTCATTCCTCCTCTCTCTCTCTTTTTTAATGTTTATTTATTTATTTATTTATTTATTTATTTAGAAAGACAGAGAAAGAGACTATGCATGTGAGCAGGAGAGGGGCAGAGAGAGAGCAGGGGAGGGACTGTTGGGGCAGAGCCAGACGTGGGGCTCAATCTCACAAACTGTGAGATTGTGACCTGAACCAAAATCAAGAGTCCAATGCTTAAACCGACTGAGCCACCCAGGTGCCCCTCATTCCTTCTTTCCATCCTTTTCCCACATACCATGGATTGATTACCAATCTTTTTTAGTTTCTGATTTATTCTCCTGCCTCCTAGATTTCTTTTGCAGCAAATGTGTAATTTTCCTTTTAACTACTTTAGTGAATTCTAATTTGTATACCATAAAAGACACCAATTCTAAATAAGTATAAAAATCAATGATTTTGAGTAAATTAGCTGAGTTGTGCAGCCATCACATAATCCGCTTTTCAGACATTTTCCTTGTCTCAGTAAGATCCCTTATGCCCAGGTACAGTTAATCCTTATTCCCAGCCCCAGCTCCAGGCAACCTCTAGTCTACTTTCTGTCTCTATAGATTGGCCTTTCTGGATATTTCATATAAATAGAATCATACAATATGTGGTCTTTTGTTTTTGGCTTTTAAAAAAAATTTTTTTTTAATGCTATTTTTTAATTTATTTTTGAGAGAGAGAGACAGAGCGTGAGTAGGGGAGGGGCAGAGAGAGACAGAAACACGGAATCTGAAGCAGGCTCCAGGCTCCAAGCTGTCAGCACAGCCCAACGTGGGGCTCGAACTCGTGAACCACAAGATCACGACCTGAGCTGAAGTTGGCTGCTTAACCGACTGAGCTACCTAGACGCGCCTCACCCAGCATGTTTTTGAGGTTCATCCATGTTGTAGCCTGTACTGGCATTTTATTTTATTTTTTAATTGTTAACTAGCATTCTGTTGTATGGACATACTATATTTTGTTTATCCATTCACTAGTTGATGGACATTTGGCTTGTTTCTACTTTTGGGCTATTATAAGTAATGTTGCTATGAACATTTACCTGCAAAGTCTTTGTTATGGACATAATTTTTCATTTCTCTTGAATATATACCTAGGAGTGAACTTTCTAGATCACACATGGTAAAGTTATGTTTAACCTTTTAAGAAACTGCTATACTGTGTCCAAAGTGGTGCCATCTTACATTGGCATCAGCAGTATATAACGGTTCCCATTTCTCCACATCCTATTGTTTGTCTTTTTAAAAAAATAACTATTCATTTATTTTTGAAAGAGAGAGAGAGAGAGAGTGCAAGTGGAGGCAGGCCAGAGAAGGATCTGAAGTGGGCTTGGCACTGACAGCACAGGGCCTGATCCATGCAGGGCTCAAACTCATGAACTGTGAGATCCTGACCTGAGCCGAAGTCAGACGCTTGTTTAACTGACTGAGCCACCCAGCCTCCCCTATTGTCTGTCTTTTTTTTATCATAACTGTTCCTGTGAGTGTGAAATGGTATCTCACTGCAGTTTTAATTTGAATTCCCCTAATAATTAATGATGTCGGCCGTCTTTTCATATGTTTTTTACCCATTTGTATATCATCTTTGGGTGACATGTCTATTCAAATCTTTGCCCATTCAAAAATTGGATTGTTTGTCTTCTTTGTTGTAAGAGTCCTTTGTAAGTCCTTTATAACGTATGTGATTTGCAAATATTTTCCACCAATCTGTGGCTTGTCTTTATTTTCATAAGTATAAAAGTTGTAAATTTTGATAAAGTCCAACTTATTAATTTTAAAATTTATGAATTGTGTGTTTGGTGTTGTATCTAAGAAATCTTTACCTAATCCAAGGTCTCAAGATTTTCTCATAAAAGTTTTATGTTTTCTCTTTAAAGTTTTATAGTTTAAGCTCTTATATTTGGGTCTCTGATCCATTTTGAGTTGATTTTTGTGGAGATATGAGGTAAGGGTCCAAATTCATCTTTTGCTGATGGATATTAATTGTCTAAGCACCATTTGTTGAAAAGACTATCATTTCTCCCAACAAATTGGACAAGACGATCATTTGTCCCAACAAATTAGACAAGAGTGCTAAAGCACTCTTATCTAAAATCAAGTGACCATAAATATAGTGGTTTATTTCTGGACTCTATTCTGTTCCATTGATCTGTTTTTCTTTATGCCTGTATCACACTGTCTTGATAACTATAGATTTTTGGTAAGTGAAAGTCCTCCAAATCTGTTCTCCTTCTTCAAAATTGTTTTGGTTCTTCTGAGTCTTTTGCGTTTCTATATAAATTGGATAAGCTTGTCAAGTTCTGTCAAAAAACATGCTGGAATTTCATGTGTGTGTTTTTTCATATTCCCTTATTTTTTTTCCCTGATAATAAACTATGGGTACTCTCACATTTTGATTTTTTAACTTAGTAGTATATCCTAGAAATCACCCTAAATCAGTTCATAGAAATCTTTCTCATTCTTTATTTTTTTAATTAATTAATTTTTAACAGCTGCACAGTATTGGATCGAATAAATGTACTGTAGTTCTTCAACTACTCTCTCCTATGTATGGGCATTTCGGTTGTTTCTAGTATTTTGTGATTACAAACAGTACTGCAGTGAATTACCTTGTGCATATTTATTTTCCTGTTGTTGGAGATGTATCTTGAGGATAGAGTCCTAGAAGTGGGATGGCTGGTTGGAAGGTAAATACATTATATCTCCATACTAAAGAGATGCCACCTGTCTGGCTTACTTCTGTTTTATTCCTCAGACATTGATGAATGTGAAAATGAATTCAACGGAGGCTGTGTCCATGACTGTTTGAATATTCCAGGCAATTATCGCTGTACTTGTTTTGATGGCTTCATGTTGGCTCATGATGGTCATAATTGTCTTGGTAAGGAAAACAGTTGGAAATCGCAATTCTACTGTACCTACCCTCTGGCACCCCACCCTTTTCTTTCCTTTGATGAAAACATACTCATTAAAACAAAAAGGGGATCAGAGACTTGTGTTTTCTGGCCCCCTCAAAATCATAGTCCCTGAGAGAAAACCAGGGAAAGTGCTTTGGTTTATATGTGATCATTCATAATGTAAATTCTCCATTAGTCTAAGGAGATGGACAACATCATTGTTACTACGTATTGACTTTCTAGCATTGACTTGTCACCTTTAAGATCTTTGATTTAATGCTATAAGTATCTCTATTCTAGAATTAGGTAAAACTACTTATTCTGAAAATTCCAAATATGTGATTGGATTTCAGCCAGGTAACCCCACCTCCTTTTTTTCTTGAAAGGCAAAGGGGTTCAAACAGAAACCTTCCATTAACATCATCCTATTATCCCACAAAACAGAAACATCTGTCGGAGTTTTAGTTCCTGAGTTACGGACTGCAAAGAGCATTGTTTACATTGGTTGCTTATGCCAGGAATAAACAGAATTCAGAAATAGCAAGCAACTGGATGGGACTGGGTGTGGAATAGTCTTAGAGGATGCAGCACACTTGGCAGAAAGGTATTCCTGGTCTGTTTGCATTTTAAGGCTGGTGTTATCAGTTGTGCAGGAGGATATCATGGGACAGATGGCATCAGGGTCCTTTGATGCTGATGACCTTTTATGCGGTTAACCTGCTGATATCTGCTTGGCTGACCAAGGAGTAACTTGAACCAGGTCCTGACACAGAGTGGACAGCTACTGAGATGCTCCCTTATAGTACAGGGGGAATGGCCACTTGATTAAATGCTTTGAGATCAGCATAGATAAGTACAGACAGAACTTGTTTTTTGAGTGGTAGAAAAGGAAAGTCTTTCCAAAGTCTTTTGATTCTGGGAATCAATCCTTGTATGCTGTTTATCCCGCTTCACTGTCACCTGGAACCCCATCCTGAAATAGATTCTGTCTCTTCCTATTTGTGCTGTGTGAGAGGTCAGTCTTTGGGTCAGACCACTTGGCCTTCCAAGCCTGTAGCTGTCAGGAAGATTTGATTGAGGGCTGGGGGCTCACTAACCCCTTTGCAGACTGTCTAGGGCAGCCAGGCCTCAAAAAGACACTAGAGAGACCATCATGACAACAATAATCAATTGAGATTAATTAAAAACTGAACAAAATATGAAGTCACTTTCAGTGTGTAATATTTTGGGAAGCATGCAGTATGTTTGGAGGGTTTGGCTTTGTTTTTTTACCATTATCTGGGGTAAATCTCACATGTCCTTTTGGTTTGCCAAAAGTGGCATTTTGGGAATTTATATCTAATGGCAGATCTAGTCATTACAGTTTTGCCTAAACCCCAAGTTGTGCTTAGGGGAATGTGTGAGATTCTTAAGAGCAACAGGCCAAACTATGCAGGGTTTAAGGACCTGGGCCAGCGTTGGGTCAGGTGGTTTTGAGGAAAGGCCAGTTCAGAAATCCTCAGCCCAGGAGTCTTTTCCTTGCCTTGTCTGCTAACACAGATATTTCAGCAGCCTCTCTCCATTCCCCCTCTTTGGGGTCTCTTTGTGGACTTGGTAGCAAGGATCTTCCTGACAGAAAGATCCTGAGTATCCACTGAGTGTATCCAAAGGGGCAAACGATTCTTTAAAGGAAGCCATGAGAAATAAAGTGATATAGTTAGAAGAGCAGGACCAGCAGATACAGAGATTTCTCTGCCATTTAGACTTGAAAGGGTTGAAGCATTTTGTGACAAGGAAGCTCAGAGCCAGAACTTTTCAGGAGCAGTACTTTCCTGTGTTCTCTGGGATGACCCCTTGCCTCTCCTCAGCCCCTTACCACATACTAGCTACAAAATACCAGAATATACACAGTACAAATACTACTTAAATCTGGCACCAAACCCAGACTGCTCCAAGATCCTGAATGCCATTGAGCTTGAAAAACAAAATGTAGCTCTTCCACATAGCTCACCTGCCTGAATTCAGTTTCCATGTTTTGAGTGTCTGGGGGTGCATTGTAGCTATTCAGTGTGGGGGCCGTGGTTCTCAACTCTGGCTGCACGTTAGAATCACTGGAGAAGTTTAAAACAACACCACTGCCTAAGTCTCATCCAAGACTAGTTATATCAGTGTCTCAGGAGGTGGGGTCCAAGCATCTGGGTGCTAACATGCAGCCAGGGTGGAGAACCACTGTTTTGCAGTCTAGAGAAACTTGCCAGGCTAGTGATACCTCTTTGTGCATGTGAACACACACACTTTTGTATTAATTCAGTCAGAGTGTGTCACTCAATGGCACATTTCTAATTGCTTTGGAGAAAGGAATAGTGGGTTAAATGGAGGGTAGGTGGGTAATGGCTCAGAGGGGAGCACACCTTTATTCAAAACCAATCCAGGATTTGGTGTTCAGGGAAACAGATCTCTCCAGCTCACCATGAGTCCTCACCATGGAACACCTTGGCCAGGTGTGTTCCAGAGTAGCTCATCCTTTGGAATGTGCTCCCTTCACACTTTGGCATAGAGAAGGGCAAGTTTGTTAGGCTTAAGGGGATGGCTCGGGTCCCATCAGTTTAGAAAGGCATCTGCCTGGTAGTGTGGGAGGATGCATGACTGTAAGATCAGAAACTTGAAACCAGATAACAGATATTTAAATGTGAATTTTCTTGTTATGGATGTGCCCAGAAGCTAATGATAGGCACATGGGAAATCAGGCTAGAGAAATAAATTGCTTTTATATCAGCCTTCTCCTTGAGTCTTTGTCATGTCTGAGATTTTTCTGGAAGTTTCCTCTTATTTGGCTCTAGTGATGCTGTGCTCTCCTGCTTTTTTGTTCATGCATTGAACAATTAATGTGCACCTAAAGTTCCAGGGCTATGCTAAATAAAACAAAGGTCTCTGTCCTCAAGGAGTTCACAGTCTAGCGGAGATGGATAGGTAAAAGATTTTGAGGGGTCCAAGGTACAAATTTAAAAAAAGAAGATTTTTGAGAATACACTATGGTAAGTGTATTGGTAGAGCCATGCACAGAGTAATTTATGACACAGTGGAAGGAAAGTCCCCTAACTCCATCCTGGGGGGCACAGAAAGACAGAGGAAGATTTACCCCCTTTCTGTCTTTCTGATGGCTCCTCTTCTGGGGCTTCTGCTGTCTCACCTACCTCCTGCTGCTGGTATTCTCCCGAATTCTACCTCTGGCTATGTGCTCTCTGCACCCCTTCTGTCCCTTCCCACACTCCTGCCTGGGGCTTTCTTATCTACATCCACCACTTTATAAGGCCACCACAAGTAAATGACTCTCAGAGGTGTCTTTACAACACCAGACTCAGGTTTCCCTCTGCTACTGGACCAAGGCCTGAATGTCAGCATCTCACATATATCACCTCCCTACCGTGGTGGGGGCCAACCACAGCCCCATCCCCATTTCCCTACCCAGCTCTGGTCTTCACCATGTTTCTCGGCCACCTACCCGATGCCCATGTGGCTTTCCACCCTGCAGGCACCTTGCCCACAGTGCTTCTGTTTTTTCCTTCCTAGGCATCCCCTCAGCCAGGCCCCAGGCCCTGTCCCCGACTAGCACCAGCTGAGGCTATTTCAGGTTCACATGTGAAGCCAGGCTTTTGATTCTTCTCCTTCCTTGTGTCCTACCCTTGGCTATCACCTTATTCTTCCTAACTCCAGGATCTGGCCATGCCACCCTTGCTACAGTGGTTCCAACTGCGTCTTAGATTAAGAGACAGGTATTCAAGGTCCTCCACAGAGTGACCCAATCTATTCCCAGCTTTATCTCCTATAACTTCCCTGCATGTACCCATGCTCCAGCCAAACGAATGACTCACCCTTATCTGAACATGCTCCATGCTCCCCAGCATTTGTGCTATGCTCATACTCTTTCTTTTGTCCAGAATCCCTTCTCCTGATTTAGAACTGAAGACATCCCATCTTCCATCAGCTTTTCCATAAAACCCAACCTGATACCCCGCAACCAGGTAGCCTCTTTTTCCCTTGTACCATCTTTTACTGTATCTCACAATTACTTGTACGTTTGTCTCTTTCCCTTTGCTGAAGGCCATGCTCCTAGAGCAAAAGAATTTGATCCTACTCATCTGTGTTTTACTGTCCCCTCTAGCACCATACTTTGGAAAGAGAAGGTGTTCAATAAATATTTACGGAATATATTATCTTGTATTCATGTGGAGGGCCTGCTTAAGTGAGCCCCAGAACTTTGTGGTCTTGGGTCCCTGCTAGCGTCAATTCTGAGAGTTTCTGTGATGCAGGGAAGGAAGAGGGACCTCATCTCTGCTTAGCGGGTGTCCTGAGATGCTGGGAGGGGTGGGCATTTGAAACAGTCACAAAAGCAAAGGCTAATCCTCCTCTCCCTCCAGATGTGGATGAGTGCCTGGAGAACAATGGCGGCTGCCAGCACACCTGTGTCAACGTCATGGGGAGCTACGAGTGCCGCTGCAAGGAGGGATTTTTCCTGAGTGACAATCAGCATACATGCATTCACCGCTCCGAAGGTGCCTCTGCTCTGCTGTGGGCCTGGGCAGGGGGGGAGGGTGCAGGGGGGCAAGGAAACCCCTCACCCTGAGTGAGTTTAGAGGGGAAGTACAGAGTATAGACATTCTGGAGGCTTGTGGATGAATCTAGACCCTGCTACTGGGTGAACCCTAGGCAAGCTATTTTAGCTTCCACTTCCTCACCTGGCAAAATAAGTGGGTTGGGCTGGGTGAGCTCTGAGAGCTCTTTAAACTCTCACATTCCTGATTCTAATCTTTAAATAGAGAACATTTCAAACATGACTAGGTGTCTCAGGAAGAATGTAATGGACAATCTGCCAAGTTTTTCAAAACGGTGCTGCAAACCACAGCCCCAGGCGCGAGCCTGCTCTGAGCTCTGGGTGGGCAGGGAGGGGCTGGAGCCTTTTTATAAGGACTTGCAGACCCAGATCTGGCCTTCCCTGGGTTTCCCATTTTTGAACCCTGAGCCTCTGGCATTCTAGGACCCCCTCCCTACAAGTGGGCTTTCTATGCTGTGGTTTTCCTGTGTGGCTGCTTATGATTCCTCCATAAATTTGTAGACAACTCTTCTGATGGCCTCCCTTTTGTTCTCTTTGCTTTGGGCCTATACTTTTTTTAAATTCCTCTATTAGTTCAGTGGATTCTTAGGAGGGAGAGGCATTAGGAACATGTGGCCAGTCAGCCACTTTTAACTGAATGACATGTTTTTAATTCTCTGCACTTTCTTAAGCCAAAGAACCACATTTTGGTGGCTGTATTTCTCCTGGGGTTGCCTGAGTCTGTTTTTGAGGGAAATGCTCTAAACATTAGACTATTAACTCCTCTTGGCATGTGGTGCTGCTTGTTCATTCTCATAACTTAAGAATGAGGTGATTTCAAGTTCTTCTACTATTTCATCACACATTTGTAGATTTATTGTTAAATCATGGTTCTTGTGACTTTCCAAGGGTGTCTTTTTGGAGGATGATTTCTGCCTCATTTTCCAAGAATGATGGCTCCTTCCTTGTACCTGACTTAGGAAGCCTGTTTGGGTAGTAAGAAGAATGGTCATGGGCCAGTGGGTTTGAGGAGTCTTATCATCTTGAGCCTGCTAGTTCTCAAGGTTTGGGTGGGATGGACAAATACTGGTTCTAATCCGGCAGATCTCTTATCTCATGCAGGCATGGCACTTGATAGAGGAACAGTTGGGTTTAAAGCTCCTGGTAGGTGCTCTGGATTTTTCTGTGAGCCCCGCATCTGGGAATAGGCAGGATTAAGACTCCAGCAGTTAAAAGCGATCTGGATCTCTGGGCACCTCCTCTTTGGTTGCTCAAAGCTGCTTCCTGGGAAGTCACTCGGCTTTCCCTACAGGTGGTGGGGAATGGGGTGGGGACCTGTAGGTCACGCCATTGCTTGAACACAGTATGGATCCTACCCAGTCACAAAGCAGTTTGCAGTGATTAAGATTATCTCTTACTCTTGCACTTCCAAAGCAGTAGCTCAGCCCCTTTCTCCCCTCTGGCGAGACCTCCAGACTGATTACAGACACAGGCTCTTCATAACAGAAGTAAATACAAAAGCAGTTCCTTTTTGCAATCTGTGTTTTCTAAATTTTCTACAATTCAGACATTCTTGGATTCCCTGAAGAGTATTTAAAATGAACTTATTTGTCTGGAGCTAAAGCCAAAATCCAAGAATTTGAGTTGTGGTCTAAGTGTGCTCTCTGTGATTTTCCGTGGTGTTTCAACCTGATTGCTTGGTGAATTCAGGGCAGTGTAAGCCAACAGATTATAGCAGTCTGTAACTGAGACCCTGTCCATCCTAGGGTTTTAACTCTTCAAATAGATCAGTCTGTAAACAGTGTTCCTTTAGGATTTCCTCTTTGATGTGCACATTAAACCCTTAGAACCTGTTATTAAAATGGACTTTAAAACCCATTGTTGATACTCCAAAATTGGTTAAAAGAAGGTGACATTACAAGCTAGTATTTTCTAGTGTTGTGGTTACTTTTAATAATTATTTACTAAATGTTCTTCAATTTAGGGGATCATAATAGATGATTCTGAGGGAAAGCTTAAGCTATTGATTTTTTAAAATTATTATTCTTAGAGACCCCAAGCTCTGATAAAGAGACTGTGTGTTTTCACCCATGTAATGGGGGTAGGCTGGAGAGAGACATACTGCCCCGGCTGGCCTTTGTCCCCATTCATGGGTGCTCAGGCTCTCAAAATGAGCATTCCTCTTTTGTTTTGTCTGGTCTGAGAATATTTTTCGATGCTTGCACCGCTGCCCTTGCAGAGTAGGGGGAAGGTGTCAGGGTAGTGAGGAAGGGGCTGTGCTCTCAACAGGGCCTGTTTCTGTCTTTTGTAGACATTTCTTGCTCTGTTCGCAAGGCATATATTAATTCAGTTTCCAGAAATATTCTTCAGGGAGACTCTGAGCTGGGGACCACCACAATAGGCTATTTCTAATGTTTTTGTGAGCTATTTCCCTCCCGGTAAACTAAACAACCCTAACCATGACTGCCAGCCCAATTTCTGGGGGGAGCCAGAATCTTGGCTGGGCCTCCCAGTTGGGACCGGACCCATCTGCTTCCCCTAGCAGTGGCATTTTTTTGTGTGTGTCAGGGTACTATGAACAGCTTTTGGGGCACCTTTTGAAAAGCCCCCAGCATTTCCAGAGTCATTTTAACCTCTATTACCTCCTGGTAAGTTTAGGTCTGGCTTGACATGATAGGACATTGGGGGCAACTTTTTGTGTATCCCCATGGCATCTGACACAGTCAATTCTTTCTTTCTTTCTTTCTTTCTTTCTTTCTTTCTTTCTTTCTTTCTTTCTTAACTTTTTAAAAAGTTTATTTATTTTGAGAAAGAGACAGTGCAAGTTGGGGGGGGGGGCCCCAGAGAGAGGGAGAGAGAGAGAGAGAGAGAAAGAGAGAGAGAGAATCCTAAGCAGACTCCATGCTATTGGCAGAGTCCAATGTGGGGCTTGAACTCATGAATCATGAGATCCTGACCTGAGCTGAAACCAAGAATGGGATGCTTAACTGACTGAGCCACCCAGGTGCCCCAATTCTTTTTTCTTTTCTTTTCTTTTCTTTTCTTTTCTTTTCTTTTCTTTTCTTTTCTTTTCTTTTCTTTTCTTTTTTCTTTTCTTTTCTTTCTTTCTTTCTTTCTTTCTTTCTTTCTTTCTTTCTTTCTTTCTTTCTTTCTTTTACAGTCAATTCTTATGAAATATTTCTTGTGTAAGTGAATTGCTCCTCTGAGGTGGTAAAGGTCACTTTGCAAATGTCTTAGACTTGAAAACAGAGTGAAGAGAAGCAGCAGCTGACCTGTTTGGGGAGCGTACTTTGCACGTATTCCTGCTGCCTTTTCTTGGGCACTGTTATGTTTAGCCCTGGTACTCCTCGTGCCTGTCATTCCAAATGCTCTGTTGATCCATGAGCAAATGTAATTCTTGCTGGGCCTTCCTAGGAGGACAGGGCGCTGCTTCTGGAGACAGCTCTCACCTCCTGTGCTGTCTCAGTATTGGGAGCAAATAACATTTCCAAAAATCACCAGCCAGAACTAAGAGAGAGCTTTGCTCTGATCCAGTACAAGCCCCATTCTGTGTTAACTGACAGCAGCCTTGGCATGGGTGAATGAATCTCAGCAACTTCCAGCAGACTGAGTGCTGGAGTTCAAACAGCTTGTAACTGTCAGATAAAAAACAAAATGGCTTTAAGAGAATATGGGATGTATTAACAGTTACGCTGTCTTTTGGAATAGGGATGACATCTGTTTGTATTAAATCAGCTATTCCAGTTAAGCATAGATCAATGACTCTATGGTGAGAATTAGCGAGAAGTGACTTTTGACTTAATTAGGACCAACTGATTCTAATTAAGTCAAAAGATTTTAGGGGCACAATACAGAACAGTGTAGGATCCTAAAGAAGTTGAATGAAAACTTTTTGTACTCATGTTTAAAACAGTGCTACTTTTGGGGTGCCTGGGTGGCTCAGTCGGTTAAGCATCTGACTTCGGCTCAGGTCATGATCTCGCAGTTTGTGAGTTCAAGTCCTGCGTCGGGCTCTGTGCTGATGGCCTGGAGCCTGCTTCAGATTCTGTGTCTCCCCCTGTCTCTTCCCCTCCCATGCTCATGTTCGGTCTCTCTCTGACTCTCAATAATAAATAAACGTTAAAAACTTTTTTTAAATTTCTACTTCTAGTGTTAGAGAGTGTCTTGTTGGTTGAAAACAAAAAAACCTACTCTCAAAGACACTTATTGTACAGAGGCAAAGAAGCATCACATGGGCATGTATTTAATATAATAGTGCAGTACAAACTGAGCAGAGGTTTTGAGAATACTCTTGGGTGTGATGAGAGTTCCTCCAGAGTTCTGGCAGGTGGCAGGGTCTCAAAGAATTGGTTTGAGAAGAGGCAGGATTCTGGCAAACCACACAGATATACATTATGTTATGACCCCATCATTTAAATGCATATTAAACTAGCCAGGAAAAGAATCTTCTTCCCAGCTCTGTTACCACAAGATTGGACCTAATGAAAATGATAGTATACCTGGAAAGGATTTTACAGCACATGTGTGAGGTCTCTTTCTGTTCTCTCTGTTGTGTTGTTGCTATGCTCTGAACCTGCTGAGGGAGGGCCCAGGGACTAGGTGAGAGTGGTCACAGAAGAGAGACCCCTGGGCTGGTGTTCACATGCTGATGCCAGAAGATAGTAGTCAGAGTCCCCTCCAAAGTGTGGATTTGGTTGGGGTAGAGAGGGGAGTTGACATTTTCAGAAAATCATCTTCAAGAGTATGTGAACCAGCTGGGAATCTTCATCTCTGCAGATTTCCTTAGAGAGATTGTCCCCTCTTTGTATCCTTGGTCAGCATGGGTAACAACCTGGCAGAGATAAGAGTCTAGGTAGCAGTTCCCGGGGTCTGCAGGCTGTGGTTCCACACCCCCCAGAGAGCTCTTGTGCTTTCTTTTCAGTGTACTAGGAAGGCTCCTACCTCTAGGAGACTTCAGACATTGTATCTCTTGGGTGAGATAAAAAATTTTTTATGTCTCTGTTAATTGACCTGACTGGATTCGGATGACAGGTTTGTTTAAAATGTGGGGCTGATGGAGACCCAGGCAGGCAGGTCCCCCCTCTCCCCAGCCTTTTGCAGTGCCCCTGGGGCTCAGGACTGTGCCTACAGCCTGCTCACTGGCTGCATGCTGCTGTTTTGCAGAGGGTCTGAGCTGCATGAATCAGAATCACGGCTGTGGTCACATCTGCAAGGAGGCCCCGAAGGGCAGTGTCGCCTGCGAGTGCAGGCCAGGTTTTGAGCTGGCCAAGAATCAGAGAGACTGCATCCGTAAGTACAGACTGGCACACGCCTGTGCTGGGAACCATCCTACTCCACAGGTTGTCTTCTGCAGCCCAGGATCAGAAATGCCACCTCATGGTGGAGCAATCACATCAGGAAAGGCAGCCATCTTAAGATACTGACCTTCACTGAGGACTAAGTTTGCTGCACAAGGGTAGTCTCTGATAGGGAAAGGAAATGATACTTTTTAAGGGAACCAATTAGAAGGAAATAAAATTTGGGAGTGAGGAGTGTGAATGTTGGGGGCCAGTCTCCCTGTTCCCACAGAATGAAACCAAATGTTGTCATCTGGCAATCACAGCTCTTTGCTACCTGGTCCTGCTTCTTGTACAAGCCACATCCACCTCCTTTTCCCAAACACCGACCTATTTGCCTGCTGGAGAACAGCCCATGTTCTTTCATGCCTCCAAGCCTTCTCCAAGCCCTCCTCCTCACCTGGCTTGGTGAATTCTCACTCAATTTTTAATATTCTGCCTAACGCCTAATAATGATAATAGCTACTTTTGGGGAACATTTACTGTGTGCAAAGTCTTGTCCAAAGATGTACCAATTCCATTGAATTCTTAATATCACCACCCTATGAGCTAAGTATTATTATCCTCATTTTTAGTTGAGAAAATTATGGAGAAGGTAAAGCAACAAGGTCACACAGGGAGCACATGGCCAATTAGGATTCGGGTGTCGATCTAGCTCGAAGGCTCTTTAGCACTTTGCTAGACTTCCCCAGAAGCCCTGACAGACCTGGCAGCCATTTTGTATTTTGGCTCCCACAGCACTGTTGATTCCTCAATTATAGCACACGACACCAGGCTTGAATTGTGTATTTATGTGTCTGTCTCCCCAGCTGTGAGCCCCCACAGTCAGGGACCTTGTCTTATTTTTGCTTCTTAGTCTTCCCCTGGTGCCTACCACAGGATGTGCTCACTACACATTTATTTATGAATGGATGGATCAATGGTGTACTCAGTCTGGACACAGCTGCCATACAACGATGAAACACAATAATAAAACTCCAACTGGTAATAGGGAACAACCTGCCATTAAAGGTGTTCCTAAACCACTATCTATGCCAGAGGAGACAGATGGTTTTCCTTTAGCAACTCTTCCCAAAGCCATGGACTTTCTATAATTCCCCTGCAGTTTGCGGAGGATGGTTGTTTACAGTGAGTCGACCTGAGTGGTTAAGAGATGAGGAGGTAGTTTCTCTGGTGAGAGACTTTTCTTCATTGTCTCCATCACAAAGCAGAGTGCAGCTCTGAAACCTGCCAAACCAGGGCTGGTGCCACCACCAGAAATAGATTCTGACAGACTCTTAGGACTCCTAAAAGTGAGGCTATCCCTGCGAGCTTCTAGTGGGCTGAACCAAGTGGCTCCACTAGGTGCCTTCACAAGGAGGACCCATGTCTCTAGAGGAGACTCACCTGTGGAGTGAGACTCTTCGGCAGTTCAGTTTTTCAGGGGCTAGTAGAATACCTGGAATTTAAATTTTAAAATATTCTTGAGATGTCACTTCCTCAAAAATTATTATAATTACATTTGAGGAAAGAACAAAAAGAAAAACAGAAGAATTCCACCACATAACCAGCTGTTTCACTGTTTTTGTTTGTTTGTTTTTTGCTCTTCCCTCATGTCCCTTCACTTTTTCCATATTCCCATTTAGTTGTTCTCAGACATACTCAATTTTTACACCACTGTGACCACAGAACAGTTTCTTTCTCACGTCACAAATAATGTATTTCATTCTGTCACATTGGAAACATTACACATGCTTATGTAAGAATTTCAACAGCCCTAAGTGTGTAAAGAAAATCTATAACCTTCCCTTTCCCATTTCTCTTGCCAGAGGTAACCACGGTTCAGTTTGATGATAGATCATTTTGAGTTGGCTTTTTTTTTTTTTTTTGGCTTATCATCAGTGAGTTCATACACAGTCTTCGTAATCGTTGGTTAATGTTGCATTAAATGTGTGCAGTCATCATTTCCTCTACATTCCCTCCCTTCTAAGTAATCTAGATAGAATCTGATGAGAGAAATTCTAACCTATTTGTACAAATAAGTATTATCTGTTTCTTCCAGAGTAAAGTGCTAGAACATTTTCTAAAGCCCCAGTATAGCTGTATTAATATGCAAACTTCTCCTGATAGAACAAAGCAGTAGTCTAGAATCTTTTGGCATAATTCCTCTGGAATAGTGATAATCTCTCTTACCTTCCTGTTGCCATTTTCCTGTATAACTGCTCAAATCTGTCATTCAGCATTTCTTTTTTTAAAATGTTTTTTTTTTAAGTTTATTTATTTATTTTGAGAGAGAGAAAGAGAGAGCAGGGGAGGGGCAGAGAGAAAGGGAAAGAGAGAGAATCTCCAGTGGGCTCTGCACTGACAATGCAGACCCCGATGTGGGTCTCGAACTCACGAACTATGAGATTGTGACCTGAGCTGAAATCAAGAGTCAAGATGCTTAACCTACTGAGCCACCCAGGTGCCCCAGCATTTCTTGAATTCATACTGTGACTATCTGTTTACATAGACAGCGTCTGGCTCTGAGTCAGGGTTACTTCTTTTATGTGCTGTGCCTAGCACACGGTAGGTGTTCAAAACTTGCTGAATGACAAGCAGAGATCTTCTGAAGCAAACCCATCCCTGGTTGTGGAAAAGTCAGTGCTCAGTGTGTTGCTTGGGTTTCCTCTTAGTGACCTGTAACCATGGGAATGGTGGGTGCCAGCACTCCTGCGAGGACACCACCGAAGGCCCGGAGTGCAGCTGCCACCCAGGGTACAAGATGCACACAGATGGAAGGAGCTGCCTCGGTGAGTGACCCCTACACTTGGTGAGGGTCTGCCCCAGCCTGCCCACCCCTAACCCCAAAACTGAACCTAACTGTTAATGGTGTTTAGCACCAGATTCAGGGTATTTCCAGAGCATTTGCCTCCAGATGGGTTCCGTGATGCTTTACATGTGGTGGTGGGAGTAGTCTAGTCCTGGGAGGGTGTCCCCTCTCTCCCTGTGCCACCATGGAAAGCCCTTTCTCTTCTCCTAGACTAGGGGGGCTCCTGAAGATGGTACTCTGGAGACTGGGACAATACATCCTAAAGGTCCAGAGCGACATGAAGTTAAAGGTAGCCATTTGTGATGACACAGTGGCCCTTATGGTCAGCAGAAGCCCATGTTGCCTATTTCTGTCAGGATGCTATCCTGTACTTCATGGTCCGTCCTTTGCTAGCTCCATTTTAGAGGTTCCCAGGCCCCAGGTTCTTTTTGTCCTGGACTGAGTGTACTGGAGTGAATCTGAAGCTTACATTCCCTAGTGTCTCTTTGGTCACTGCAATATGCTTCAAAAATCTTTTCCATATTTAATGTTTACTAAGGCTCTGCGGCCATTCAACATACTGTGTTTCCCGCAGAGCCTCTTTACAACACGTTTTTATTGAGGGAACAGAGTGGCACATCTTACATTGTTCTCGTGTCTGGGGTTTCGGCAGAAGGGGTTGTGCAGGGGATGAATAATCTGATTCATTCAGTCTGAGAACTGTGCTGTTTTGCGTCTCTTATAGAGCAAGAGGACACTGCCCTGGAGGTGACAGAGAGCAATGCCACATCAGTGGTGGACAGTGATAAACGGGTGAAACGGCGGCTGCTCATGGGTAGGCACTGCCCCCTCTTCCTTGGCCACTGTCCTGTCCCCTTCCCTCCTTAACTTATTACATCAGGCCTGAACCTGGGCCTAACTTATTACATCAGGGCCCCTACACCCTCAGACCAGCTGGACCTGGGTCAGCAGCTCCTGTCAAGCCACATTGTGTCTGTTCTTCACCCACTGCTGTTACTTAGTCACCATCCAAGGACTCTAGAATTGTGGGAAGGGCACCGGCCCAGCAATCAGAACAAGCAAGTTAGCCTCCTAGCGCTGCCCCCAACTGGCTGTGAGACTCGGGCAAATCCCCCTGAGCCTCGGTCTCCTGGTCTTTCTTTGAAACGGATATAATAAAACCTACCTCTTAGGGTTATCAGGAAGCTCAGTTATGATAATAATATGCAAAAGTGGCCATAGTCCAATGCCTGGGACTTAGTGGGTGGTCAGTGGATGTCAGTTCCTGTCCTTCTGAGTAACTAACTGACCAGGGAGGCACTTTGGGCAGGCAGCCCCTAGCTTAGCATGGTGATTTGTCTGGGTTTTTGTCAGCCGAGCCATCTTCTCTCTGACTTCAGCCCATGTTAATGGCAAAAGAGATGAATGGAGAAGAGTGGCACTTGGCTGTGGGATATAAGAAGGTCTGCCAGCAGATCTGCCAGCGGAGCTGGAGACGGGAACAGAAGTAGAGGCAGTGGCTGTGTGGGTGGCAATCAGATCCTCTGGCACATTATTATTCTGGAGAAAGCTTGGCTTGACCTAAACAAAACCAGTTTTTTGATAGCTTCTATATTTAACAGGTAATATATTGAGCAGACATTGGCCACCAGTCAGGTGACATTTCTGAGCTCTTTTCTACCCGATTAAAATTATTTTTAATTGCGTTAAATTAAAATACTGCATACGAGTAGTATAAAAAACCTTAAAAACTTTAATCAGTGCTATTAGGCATGTAATGAAATACATCATTTCCTTGCCTCAAAACTTCCCTTTCCCTCATCCCATTTGACAAAGGCAACAATTTTCATTTCTCCTAGTTGTTTCTTCTTCTAACTTGCCCTCCACCATATTTCTGAAAAGTATATATAGTTATTTCTCTTTTTCTCACGTATATTGTGACATTATACACTTATTTCTTGATGTGTCAGTTTTAGATATTTACTTTGACTTCCTATTCCAGGACACAACAAGTTTTAGCTCTCTTCTGCCCTCTCCCCTAATGCATACACTCCCTCTCCCATACCCTTAATGTGGTTTTATCACTATTTAAATCAATATTATGTATTTACATCATTGTGATTATGAATATCTAAATATGATTCACCTGAACCACATAATGTGCTATGATTATTATTTTCTCTGCTTAGTTTTCTAAGTACCTCTTAGCAGTTCTTTTGCAAATTTCAGGCAGAGTTCTAAAACCCTTTCAATGTGTTCAAATACAACAATTGTCTTATCAATTCCATTTTCTTCTTTTTATTTTATTTTATTTTTTTTCAGTATATGAAATGTATTGTCAAATTGGTTTCCATACAACACCTCCATTTCCTTCTTAAAAAGTATCTTCCGGGGCACCTGAGTGGCTCAACCAGTTAAGCTTCTGACTCTTGATTTCAGCTCAGGTCCTGATCTCTCGGTTTGTGAGATCGAGCCCCACATTGGGCTCTGTGCTGATGGAGCGGAGCCTGCTTGGGATTCTCTCTCTCCCTCTGTCTCTGCCCCTTCCCCGCTCAAAATAAATAAATAAACATTAAAAAAATGTTTTTAGGGGTGCCTGGGTGGCGCAGTCGGTTAAGCGTCCGACTTCAGCCAGGTCACAATCTCACGGTCCATGAGTTCGAGCCCCGCGTCAGGCTCTGGGCTGATGGCTCGGAGCCTAGAGCCTGTTTCCGATTCTGTGTCTCCTTCTCTCTCTGCCCCTCCCCCGTTCATGCTCTGTCTCTCTCTGTCCCCCCCCCAAAAAAAAATTGGAAAAAAAAAATGTTTTTAAAGTGTCTTATGAGGCTTCCCTGCCGTGGAGGGGCCTGATTCTTCAGGCTGGCTGTACACTTCTCCTCTGGGCCTTCCCATTAGCACCAGCCTGGGAATGCCCTTCACCATGCTCCTGTGTCAGTAGACCTCATGTCTTCTCTTTTGTTAGTTTACACAGGTAGGTATAGGTTTTTAAAAGCCTTCCACGCCTGAGAATGCCTTTCTACTCTCCTTTTATTGAGAATTTAGCTCAGTATAGAATTCCAAGTTGTGAGTAGTGAGTGCTCTATTTTTTTCAGGCATTCAGTGTTGTTTTAAGAAATCTAAAGTCATTTTTATTTTTGATTCTTTGAATGGAATCTATGAAAGCTTCTGTCTGGATGTTTTCAGGGTCTTATCCTTGTCCCTGTTGATGTGAAATTTCACAATAATGACCCTCACTATGGGACTTTTCCCACCTGTTATGCTGAAGGCCACTCAGTTGGCCTTTTCAATATGGATATTTGAGTCCTTTAGTTCTGAGACAGTTCCTTATATTTTTTCTTTGATAATTTTCTTCACTCCATATTCTCTGTTCTTTCTCTCTGGAACTTGTGTTAGTTGGCTGTTTAACTCCTCTAATTTTCTTCTCTTTTCTTAAATTTTTGTTCTATTTCTAGGAGATTTTCCATTTTTTTCTTCTAATCCTCTTCAGGATTTCTTTTTAAATTTCTGTTTTCATACTGTAATTTTTCAAGAATTTTACTTTGGTCTTTTGTTGTAGGTACATATTCATGTTTCGTGAATGCTTTTCTTATCTCTCTGAGGAAATTAATTACAAGATTTTCAAAACTTATTTTTTTTCCCCTGTATTAGCTTTGTTTCTTCCAAGTTCCCTCTTCTTTGTTTGTTTGATTTGGTGCATTTGTTTCATATTAAAGGCCTTCTTGAACTGTCTGGTGATTCTAGGTTGAGTTTTCATATTTAATAGTGAAATACTAAAAAGCCAATTGGATATTCTATCAGCTGGTAGGCTTTATACTTGGATGACTAGCAGTGACTTAGCCATTTCATCTGGAGATCTTCAAATGCTAATATCTGTACGTCTTTTCACTTGGGCAGGCCAGTTCAGTCTCCTGCCAAGCAGACATAGTCTTGCCTGTCAGTGTTCCCAGAACTGGGATGATGGTGGTGGTGGTAAGACTTTGAGATCTCTCTTTTCAGGGTATAGATTTTTACCTAACAGTGTCTCTTCCTCCCTCTCTGTTATTCCTGGTACCCTGGAGCCCAGTACTTCTCTGGTCCCACTTCTCCAGAGGATAAATTTCTCTGTTGTAGCCCGAATAGGGAAGGGGAGTCACCTGGCTGTGAAATTTAGGAGGGGATCTGAGGGTTTATCTGTTTCTTTCACAGACTTATAATCAATCTTCCTATTTTTAACTCCTTCCTCACCTCCGCCTCTAGAGTAACTTCGTATCTCCAATTCCCAGGCCTTTATGGGTTCTGTGGCTCATATGAGCTTACTACCTGTTGGCACCCCCTCTGCAGACCACTAGGGTTTATCTTTCTGCTGTGCCCATTACTGCTCCTCCACTGATATGCCACTTCCAGGATATTTATATTGTCTTGGCTTCCATTTTCTTTGTCCTTAAGGATTTGTACTTTAAAAAATTTTTAATTTCAGTATAGTTAACATACAATGTAATATTAGTTTCAGGTGTACAATATAGTGATTTGGCACTTCCATACAACACCTGGTGCCCATCACAAGTGCACTCCTTAATCTCCATCCCGTTTCACCTATCCACCCACCTACCTCTCCTCTGGTTACCATCCATTGTTCTCTGTAGTTAGGAATCTGTTTTTCGGTTTGTCTCTCTCTTTTTGTCCTTTGCTCATTTGTTTTCTTTCTTAAATTCCACATATGAGTGAACTCATATGGTATTTGTCTTTCTCTGACTTATTTAGCTTAGCATGAAAAAAAATTTTAAGTGTCTTCGGAGTATAGAGTATTTTAACTACATCTGTGTTGTTGCAAATGGCAGGATTTAATTCTTTTTTTATGGCTGAATAATATTCCAGTGTGTGTGTGTGTGTGTGTGTGTGTGTGTGTGTGTGTGTGTGTATCATGTTTTCTTTATCCATTCATTCATCAACCGATGGACACTTGGGCTGTTTCCATAATTTGGCTATTGTAAATAATGCTGCCAGAAACATGGGGGTGTATGTGTCCCATTGAATTAGTATTTTTGTAATTTTTGGGTAAATATCCACTAGTGTGGTTACTGGATTGTAGTGGAGTTCTATTTTTAACTTTTAGAGGAATCTCCATACTCTTTTACACCATTTTTTAAGGATTTATACTTTATTATTTTTTGTTTGTTGTGTGTATGTGTGTGTGTGTGAGAGAGAGAGAGAGAGACAGAGACAGAGACAGAGACAGAGACAGAGACAGGGAGAATTCCAAGCAGGCTTCTCACTGACAGTGCAGAGCCCAACACCAGGCTCTTTTCAGGGCTTGATCTCACCACTGCAAGATCACAACTCAAGCTGATATTGAGAGTTGGGTGCTTAACCAGCTGAGCCAGCCTGGTGCCCCAAGGATTTATACTTGAAAAAAATCTATTTACTCTCATGTTAGGTTTTGAGAGGAAACAGATATACCTATTCTACTGTCCTATTTAATTAGAACTAAGCCTCCCCCCCCAAGGCTCTACAGTGAGGTAGCTATGGAAGTAAAAGCAGTAAGTGAAACTAGAAGGACATTTGCTTGTTGTTCCTCATCTCTTTAGTTGTGACTTAACAACTTTGGCTGATTTTTTCATGTACTTCTGACAGGTCTTTCTGCTTTCATCGAAAGGTAAACTTCTAATCTGAGTTAATTGGCAGTTGCAGGGATGAAGTCCAATGACTTCCCTTCTGCAGCAAGGGAATAGTTGGGGTAGGGGAAGCTTGCCCTCTCTTGCTTCTCCTATTACTTATATTGAAGGGAGAGGGTTCAGGATTGAGGAAGGGACATCCCCCTTTGCCCTGTTCTGCATTCACATCTAGCTTGCCAGATGTAGCCATGCTTAGCAGGTCACTGGCTGTGGATCAATAGGAAATTTTAGTGGCTTCAAATCTGCCAGTGGGGGATTGGGAAGGCTCAGCAAGTTGGAGAGAGAGACATTGTTAGCCTTGTATCAAGCTTCTTTGGGAGATGTCACTTATTTAGACGGGAGAGAGGAGCTGCACCTGCTGTCTCTTTAGCTCACCTGCAGGTGGTAGAGACTTGGGATACAACTGTGAGTACCCCACCATGCTTCTTGGATTTCATGAACTTTGCCAGTTATTAATACTGCAGCGATATCCTTTCCTCCCAGCTGTATCAGCATTTCTTTAGCAAGCTAACTGTCTTTTTCTTACCTCCTTGTCAGAAACGTGTGCTGTCAACAATGGAGGCTGCGATCGCACCTGTAAGGATACTTCAACAGGTGTTCATTGCAGTTGTCCCGTTGGATTCACCCTCCAGTTGGATGGGAAGACTTGTAAAGGTAGCCTGTGCCTCTCCATGCTGCTAATGTATGGGGATGAAGGAAGCTCTTCCCCTCCATATCTCCTGAGTGATTCCGGATTTGCTTATGATTCATATTGATCGAAGCTTTTCTTCCCTGGACTAGTGGAAGGTTATAATTGAGTAAGCTTAATTAGAACCAACTTAATTACACTAACTATTGAGAAGGTCAGCTTCAGCAAGCATCAGATGACCCATTTCAGGTAGGGCCTTATTAGAAAAAGGTGGAAGCTCAAGAAAACATTCATTTGCAGGTGATAATATCAACATCTTATAAATAACAATCTAGAGACTATTTATAAATAACAGCCAAGATTATTATCCAGAGAATAACTTAATGAATAACTATAAAATTAGCTTTTACTAATGAATAGATACCTCAGTGACCTGCTAGCATTTCATGGGCAAGAGTACAAAGGCTTAGTTCTTTAACATGATAAAAAGTAGACAACCAGTTACCAGATGAAACTGAGAGAAGATAAGATTAATTTGAGTATCAGGAATCATTTAAAAGCATTGAGACTACTTGATTGTTGTGTAATTTGCCAAAGCAAATGTTCTAATTCCTTATAAACTGAAGCATTAAACTGGAATGGAAAGTATGCCCAAGGGAGCCATCTTATCTTGAGAGAGCAGGGCAAGAATGAAACTATAATAGGACATCACCATTCTTTCCCATAATATGTGTCCTTAATGCTAGTCCAGGGTAGCACAAGTCAGAGTTCTCAAGGGGACAAGACACTTGTCTTTCCAAATCAGTTAAGCCAGACTAGAAAACATGTGTAAGATTAAAAACATCAGCAAACATCCTTAAACGCTTTTATGGGTCTGTTTTTGTTTCAGAGAGTAATGAAGCACGCACACAATAGCACTTCAGGGATTTGTGGAAAACCAGGCAAGTATCGCTCTCTGATTTGCCGATGCTTACCTGTTACAGATATTGATGAGTGCCAGACCCGCAATGGAGGTTGTGATCATTTCTGCAAAAACACCGTGGGCAGTTTTGACTGCAGCTGCAGAAAGGGATTTAAATTATTAACAGATGAGAAGTCTTGCCAAGGTATGTGCTGAAACATAGCTGTGCTGTGCAATGCCCGCTGGTTGGAGCAGAGAAGACGAAACCCCACTTTGGCAGAGACTGGCTCATTGGGCTTTTTGATGGAGTCATTAATCCAACCTCCAGTCCATGCTTCACTTATTTCATCTGTTGGTAGAGTAAAAACACCAATGTAGCTCACAAGTATTAACGATTAGAGAACACCTTAAAGAATCCATCTGGTGTGATTACAGCAGAGCTGGCTGCTAGAAATGGAATGGATCACAGAGTGTAAACAGGGTTGCATTAGGGTGTTGAGATTATGAAGAATTTTTCCTTTCTAAAAATTTCCTTTAATTTTGAGGATTTTGTAATAAAACTTGGTGGAAAAAGTATGTAGATTGAGTTAACATACCTTACCTTTTCCTAGCGAAAAGTTGGGGTCAACCCATAATCAAGGTCATGTACCAGTTGATCTCTTCCTTATAGCCCTTGTTTTAATGACCAGCCTTTGGTGCTTGGGGAGAGGGACGGTGGAGAGGGAAGGGGAATTGAGTGGAGGCAAGGCTGGTGGGTCCTCGGCAGGATTGCAGACCCCCTCTTACATGCTTTCCTCCCACACAAGAGGTGTGGTAAGGGAGCATCTTTGGGGAGCAGTTGTTGATATTAATAACTCTTATGGATGGGAGTAAGCTTTGTTGGGTGAGAAGCATCATATCTAGTTTCAGATGAGCACCTTTTATGCCCTATGGATATATAGGAAGCAGCTTTCAGGAAAGATGTGCTGTCATGTATTCTTGTTCCATTTCTGGAAATAAGAACAGCCTAACTTATTTTGTTAGAAATCCCAGAATTAAATTAAAATCAGAAAATAATATCTGATTTCACTTTAGGTAATAAAAATGGAACATTACCTTCTTTTAGCCTTATGGTATGAATTAGGTTTCTCTCTTGGTTTTTTTTTTTTTCCTCCTAATACATAATTTGTCAGGCAGTTCAAGTATAGCCCCCTTTAAATTCAGCAAGATCATTCTAGATGAGTATTGCATGGCTTTCTTCTATTTGACTTGGAAAGCAAATTTGATGTTGCACATAATGTTTCCTAATGTATAGGGCAAGAAATACTGTTTAAGCTGTGTAAACACATTAAAAAGGAATTAGAAAAGTGATCTCATTATTTTTGGCAAAGCAACAGCCCATCATGTGCAGCCAAAGCCAGCTACTGAACAAGTCCACATTCCCAACAACTGGTTGATGTTAATCACAGAATTCAGAGAGTGACATCAATTACTAGGGAAGAAATGGACTTTTTTCCTATTTTTCACTGATCAGAACAAATATTTTCACAGAACAAATTTACTGAGGAAATTGCCAAGATTTCTGGGAAAAGCAAATGATGAAGAGATTTTGTAAGAATTTGCCCTTTCTAATTTAATTTTTTCATTCCTCCAGTTCCTTCCAAATGTTTGGTTTTTATTAACATAGTTTCTTGTGGCACATTTGGTGTTGAAAAAGAGATCTAGCTCTGGGCTAATTGGCTTCCACTGAGTTCTGTACTGGTCCTGGTTTATCCATTTGGAGACACAAGTCATAACTCTATTGAAAAAAAACCCTCCAAAGAGTTGAGGAAATGAAGCACTGAAATTCTAGTCTACAGGAAAGATGTGAAGACCAGACCAGGGAAGAAGAGATGATTAAATCGACAAAGGCAGCCTCCTGAGACTAGTTTTCAGGACCTCAGCTGAAGCCAGCAATGCCTCCACATTGAACCAGGACAGGAGGGGCCTTGTGGGGCTGGACCATGGCAGAAGAACAAAGCCAAGGGATTGGCCAAGAGGATCCAGTTTGGAGCTTAAACACCAAATTTTCGTGTCTGCAATAGAAACTCACTGAGGATGTTTGTGTTCATGCATTCTTTTAGTGCAGAGGACATTAAAACCGAGGATAAATTGGACTCCTGGGGCCAGAAGACTAATTCTGGAAAGACAGGAACCAGATTTATCTCCAACCCAGCTGTTTTCTCCTTTCAATTTGCTAGAGCTTATATAATTAGTACTGCTGTTTTACTAATAGTAATATAACAACAATAATGTGTGGGTTGCACCGTATAGTTTACAAACCCTTTTAAGGTATGCTGTCTCATTTAGCTTCATTTAAATATTTTAAATTACTCAGCTCTGCAAATAGGCATGTGAGAAAGACCAACTGAGCTTAAAGACAAGTGCAGTTTGCAACAGAATTTGGAAATAAGGATTCTGGTTGTGAGTATACTTATTATAGGCTGCCCAACATTGTCTAAACACAAGTGAGCAAGAGAACCGATACTTTTAAAATTCTGTTTATGTTGTTTTCGTTGTCAGTCAATAGGTGGAATTACAAATGCTCTTTCCACTCATCCCTCAGAGTTGGTTTCAGCTCCCCTCTCCCTTTGACAATTACAGATGTGGATGAATGCTCTTTGGATAGGACCTGTGACCACAGCTGCATCAACCACCCTGGCACATTTGCATGTGCTTGCAACAGAGGGTACACCCTCTATGGCTTCACCCACTGTGGAGGTGAGCAGAATGTCCCTCTAGAGTCAGGTGAACCTGGGCCTGCAGGGGAGGCCTAGCTCCCAAGGTTTCTCCAGATCAGGGTCAATTTTCCTATATTGGGGAGTGAATGGGAAGTTTTAGTCCCTGTATAGTCGTAGTGACTTCATCAACTCAAGGGAAACATCTGCTAAGGGAAATCTATCACACTGATCCCTTTAACGTGTTGAGTGTGAAATGGAGCAGAGAGAAGAAGTGAGCTAATCAACTGTGAATTCTTTGTTGACTTTATTGACATAGTTGTATTCAGTGGAAGGGTCTCTCAGGAGCTGATATCCTGTCTGTTGGAACTTCCCAGTGGATAGGAAAGTCACAGTCCTCAGAGAGGGCACCAACCAATTCCACAGCCTTACTGTGCACAGGAACTAGCTGAAAAACCTTTTTAAAGCTTGGAGCTGGTCTTTGGACAGGTCTTTGAGCTGGGAGTGGGACCGTTGACTTGATCTCTCTGTGCTGTGCCCATGTAGCAGCATGTTCTGATGTCATTTGTCCTTATTCTCATGTAGACTATGGCATAAATAAGATTTGACATCAAATGACTCCCCCCCACAATTCTGAATGACTTGGGCTTCTTAAAGGTATTACTGAGTATCCGAATATTTGGGAACTACTGGCCTAAATACTTCCTGCCCAATCCTTGTGTTCTATACATAATAAGAATGGAGCGTAGTGGGATTTGGTATAGATAGTATTGTCTCTCTTCTTTTCGATACATCCTTGGCATGGCTAAAAATGTACTTTTCCAGTCCACCAAGAATATATTCAAGAAAATATTCCCTGAATATGGATGTGTGTCTGGGTTTTTGATGGACCACCTTCCAACCTAGACTCAGTCTCAGGTTGATGGGAATTAGTGCAAGTCATTTTCCTTTTCTATATTCCACCTACTGAATATGAACTGTCAAGTGAAGAATCCTAATTCTATCTCCCTTGGTATGTAGCCCAGGAGGATGGGCTATGCAGTGCTTGAGCTTGGACATCTGAAAGTAGAGTGTGCCCCCCTTCTGAGTATCCTGAATGGGGGAAATGTTTGGTCAAGAACGGAACTTGAGACCATCCTGGCGAGGCCTATGCCAGGAAATCCACTGAGTGGGGAGTGGGGTCTGCTGGTGCCAGGTGCACATCCTGAAGGCAGTTAGCACCTTCCCTTTGTTTAGTGAGTTCAACCATGTGACTTCCTCAAGGGAGGGACAGCGCCAGCCCGGTCATCCATGGGCTGCTGTGACAGGAGAGTGTTTTGTTCCACAGACACCAACGAGTGCAGCGTCAACAACGGAGGCTGTCAGCAGGTCTGTGTGAACACTGTGGGCAGCTATGAATGCCGATGCCACTCTGCATACAAGCTCCACTGGAATAAAAAAGACTGTGTGGGTAAGGGGTACCGAGGCTCACAGTCAGCGGGCTCACACTGCCACTGGCAGCTCTCTCCCATGTCCAACTGGGCCCGGAGTGCACTTGACCATCCCTTCACTGATTCTTCTCCCCTCAGCAGCAGCAGCCATTCTTTAAATAGTTCAAAAACAGGAGATACTTTACAGGCTCTTTGGTGTTTCCTTCTGTGCTTCTGTGTAGGTTGGAGCACTTCTGTTTTTCTGGTTGTTTTTCTGCATGGAAAAAAATAGCATACAAATAGCTTCCTTACCTTGGAGGGACATGGCGCCCTGTGTCTTGTGTTCTGTGCTGGGTATCAGTTCCACCTTCTTTTCTTGGGGCCTTGGATGTCTGGAACTCAGCTGCCTTTATCATGCCTGGAAGTGTCCTTCTCTTTCTATAAGTGTCTGCTTTTTGTCCTGTCTAGAAGTGAAGGGGGTCCTGCCCACTAGTGTATCACCCCATGTGTCCCTGCATTGCGGTAGGAGTGGTGGAGGAGACAGATGCTTCCTCAGATGTCACTCTGGCATTCACCTCTCTTCAGGTGAGTGGGTCTCAGTCCCTGGGGCAAGTCCTCATGCCAGAACCAGGCCTTCCTGGCCTTTAGGTGTTAAACACCCTCAAAGGATTTCCAGGTGTTTGACCAGCTGCCCCCTGACCACCAGAGGCCCATGCCTTGACACCCATATGCTGAGCATTTGTCTAGTGGTCCACGTGGAATGGGAGGTGGGGGGTGATTTTAGTTCCTACCAGGAGAGACCGTAACCTTGCTTTCATGTTGACAACCCACATTCTGTCTGTCAGGACTGCAAGAGGCCTACTCTGTCACCTGCGGCTCTTCCTCTTCTCTCAGGAGCAAACAGCAAAAATCCAATGACTCTGCTTTCGGGGGTAATTACCAAATCTGCATGTTCTCTCTGGGGTTCACTGTGTTAAATGGGCTTCATTCTTGAGGTGCAGTTCTGGGCATTGGCTTTATTTTCTTTTCTCTTAATCTCCTCATTGCTGTGATGCGTTACAGGATGTTCTTGCCCACAGCCTTGGTGCCTGAAAACTGACTCACTGTGTAACAAATACTTACTGACTGTCCACCGTGTGCTAGGATGCTCTGTGTTCAGCCCTGGTGGGTTGTCATCTTGGGCAGAGGTGCACAGAACTCTGAGATCTGGAGGTTCGGGTCTCTCAAACTCCCTGTACCCCAGAGCACCTCAAAGGCCCAGAAGGCAATGTGTGCCTGGAGCACATGGAGTTGGTAGAGATAGACATGGGCATGACGGGGCGCAAGGATTCTCTCCAGAGAAAAAGGCCTGAACACTTTCTCGTTTGTCAAAAGACAAAGAATGAAATTTAAAGCTTTTAAGTAGCCTTGTCCTCCTCGATTTAGATATCTCTATGATTATGTCATGAGAATATTTGAATGAGCAAATAGTTCCTGATGTCTGTATTACATATATGAGCAGAGCTACCTGGTAATAATACTCGAATATATTTATTGAGCAGTTAAAACATAACCAGCCTCTGTATTACATGTATTATCTGATCTAATCCACACTGCAACCCTCGGCGCAATTTTGCTATTATCCTCATTAACCAGATGAAGAAACTGAGGTTCAGAGAGGTGAAATGATATACCCAATGTGACTCAGATAGGAAATAGTGGAGCCAGGATTTTAACCAGAAGTCTAGATCTAGAGTCGTAAGCATCATCCTTCACTGCCTCTCTTGCCTAACATTTGGATCCAGTCAGAACAGATATCATGGTCTGTTTCACCAAATCCCTCAGTGATGGGCACTTGGAAATTTAGGCCACCCCCAGGATGGGCAAGCAAATAGTTAATAGTCATTCAGTTCTTACTTTGTGCCAGACAGTAGGATAAACTTTTTTTTTTTATTATCTCATTTAATCCTCATAAGGATTACATAATCCTCATGTAAGTACCCCAATTTTGTGTGTTTTACAAATGAGGAAACTGAGGCTTAGGGAGCTTTAGTAACTTGCTTAAGTTCTCATCATAAGTCAAAGAGCTAAAGCATGAATCCTGGTCTTTGGCTCCAGAACTTGACATATGATTAAGACTGATTGTGGGAGGGAGAGCAGAATTTTGCACAAGAGGCCCTAAAAGTGGGACTGTCGCTTTCCCCAGACCCTGAACATCCTAGCCACACTTAGTGAGTGCCATCCCTGTCTGCTCCCTCAACCTTGTCCTCCCAGGAAAGACTTATCCAGGAGAATCTGCCCTTCACCATTTCCATCAGCAGTCTTGTTTAAATTTGAACTAGGAGATTCTGGTCTTCTTTCTTGGGAAGGCATAAAAGTGACTTCATGGTTCATCTCAGCGTTCAGGTTGTTTTAGGTTCTCTCTTTATTATATTCGAACACAGGATTCACTTCAGATGAAGGGATAAGTGTAACTCTTAGGAGGCTCCTGGTGTCCCCAGCCTCAGGGTAACGGGCACTCCATGATCCAAATCTTTTGTGGTCTCAGGGTAAGAGAGGAGCTCAGGGTGTGCAGTGTATAGCCTACGGATAGCTTGCCACTACCCACCAGGTATTTCCATTCCTTTGTCTCTGAAGATAACATCTCTCACTTGTTTCTTTCTGAAGATGTCGCCACCATCAGGACAAGTGTAACCTTTAAACTAAATGAAGGCAAGTGTAGTTTGAAAAAGGCTGAGCGGTTTCCCGAGGGTCTGCGGCCAGCACTACCAGGTATGGAATCAGATGGCTGGTGCAGGGAGCTTGCCTGCATGTTGGGAAAAGGGCCTGTAACAAGCCGAGCCCTTCGGATGGGATTGAACAGTCCAGAATCTGCAAGGACTCTCTTCGCAGGAAGAAGAGGAGATAACCTAGCACCTCTGTATAGTTCTGGAGTTATACTTCAGGGTTTCCTTTGCCAGGTACAGATGGTAAAGCTCTGGGGTAACATATGAGTTCACAGGAATCAATAAGGACTTTAAGATGCATTGTCAATTTGTGATCATATTGGGTTAAATTTTCTAGATCTTAGAGTCACTTGGAATATAAGCCAAAGAAATGAAAGAGGTTTGGCTCAGGATAATCTTTGATGAACTAAGATGTAATATCCAGCTTTCCTGCTGGATCCAGTCTTTGGAGGCAGGGTCTCCATTAGCTTCAACAGAACAAACACCATCCAAGTAGAACTGGCCTTTTAGAGAACAGAACGCAACACTCCTTCCGCAGCTCACATTTCCAGTATTATTTCATAGAATAATTTTAGAGATTAAAAAAAAATCAGGATTCATGGATTAGGGATGCTTCTTTCCTTAGTTTACCTCTAATAAATCATACAAATGAACAAAGCTCACTGTAGTCACTTTTGCCTGTTTTTTTTTTAAGAAACTAATTGAGATTAATTTTGGTACCTCCATTTGATGGGATTTTTTTTAAGTTTATTTGTTTAATTTTGAGAGAGAGAGTGCATGTGTGCATGCGTGCATGCGAGCAGGGGAGGGGCAGAGAGAGAGGGAGAGAGAGAGAATCCCAAGCAGGCTCTGTGCTGTCAGCACAGAGCCCAACACGGGGCTTGATCTCATGAACCATGAGATCATAACCTGAGCTGAAACTGAGATCAGTCGATTAACCGACTGAGCCACCCAGGTGCCCCCCATTTGATGGGATATTATGCAGCTATTAATTATGTGTTTCCAAAGAATGTTTAATGACATAGGAAAATGTTCTTATAATAAAATGCTAAGATGGAGAAGGAGAGAGTAAGATTTTGTGTATCTAAACAACCCAAACTATGTAAGAAAAAGTGGGACTAGGTGGAAAAGAAGGGAAACTCACCATTTCATCAGTAGTAGTAATAACTAGGTGGGAGGATGCAGGAGATTTTAATTTTTAATTTTTTTTTTTTTTGCATTTTCCAAATTCTCCACAGTGAGCATTTATACTTTTAGATCAGAGGGAAAAAGCATTATTTTAAAAGAGACTTGGTCTTTAGTTTCTTTAATGGTATTATACTATGTTAATTTCTTAGTGTTGATACATATACATGTTAATGTAAGATGTTAGCATTAGGGGAAACAACCAAGTGTATACGGGAACTCTCAGTTCTATCTGAGCAATTTATCTGTAAATCTAAACTTATTTCAAAATAAAAAGTTTAAAATATAGATTTGGGAAAATTGAAGGAGAGAAATATTCAAAATGACTGTTTAGTTTGAGATTTGAAGTTAGCCTTTTGAAAAGGTAAGATGGATTTTTAGGGGAAATTTAGGTGTGAGGGAGAATTAATCTGCCTCCTCCTTCCTTTGGCTCCTGATCACCCATTGCTTTGAACATCCTTGTAGTGTTGAAGAAAAATATGATACAGATGATACATCAGTTGAGTAAAGTAAGAGTTTAAAATATAGATAAATCAGGGGCACCTGGGTGGCTCAGTCAGTTAAGCCTCCGACTTCAGCTCAGGTCACTCACGGTTGGTGAGTTCGAGCCCCATGTTGGGCTCGGAGTCTGAAACCTGCTTCGGATTCTGTCTCCCTCTCTCCCTGCCCCTCCCCCACTTGTGCTCTGTCTCTCTCTCTCTCTCACTCTCAAAAATAAATAAACATTAAAATTTTAAAAATCAGACAAATCAGTTGTGTGGATGATAATGTGGTTTGGGTTAACAGCCATTAGTTAAAATATACACTGGAAGCCATGGGGAGGGGAGGAGGAGAGATGGCCAGAGTCTGGAATAGGGACGTGCAGAGCCTTGCCCTTACACAACACTTTCCCTCCCACCCTAGATGCCTTCATGATATTGTTTGGTTCTCTAGATGCTTTGTGCCGTATATTGCTCCTGGTTATTTCAAAATGAGACCTCACTGTTAATGTGCTTTCCAGCTTCTTCTTCAGGTTAGAATTACTCCAAGGTCAGTTTGCCTGAAAGCAGGAGTTGGTTTTCTTTCTACTTTTATGCTCGTTCCCTGTTTGAAGGCTCAGCCCCTGCTTGGTACATCACAGTCCAGCTCTAAGGAAACCAACTGTGAGAACACGAGCACACCTTAGCAGACCATCAGTTAGGAATGCAAGGCAACCCTGGTGTCCTGTCTTCCACATATGTGGCTGGTCAGTCAGAAACATCTAGCATTCACCCATGCAAATAATTTTCAAGGGCTAAATTGTTAAGTTATATAGGAGGCAATACTGGCTCTTTGAATTTAAAATGTCATCGTGCTCCTAGCTGCAACGTCTTGGCATCTGGAGTTAATCACTTAGTCCCTTGAGAGTTGTTTTAATGAAATGTTTACTGAGCTCTAGCGAATGTTCAACTGAGTGCTTTGCCAGGATCTGGCTTCCGATAATTTTGTTTCTTCATACAGAGAAGCACAGCTCAGTAAAAGAGAGCTTCCGCTACGCAAACCTTACATGCAGCTCTGGCAAGCAAGTCCCAGGAGCCCCTGGCCGATCAAGCGCCACTAAGGAAATGTTTATCACTGTTGAGTTTGAACTTGAAACTAACCAAAAGGAGGTGACAGGTTGGTTTGAACACAGTCTTTGGTGTCAGGCTGCTCACAGCTTGCTCCTTACTCTTTTGCCTTTCACTTTTCATCATTCTTGGGGGAAAAAAGTACTGCAACCACTGAAGTATCTCCTGTTTTTTGTTTTTTGGTTTTTTTCACTCCCAAACTAGACTGAATTGGTTTGGAACCTCATGATTTAATCTGCTCCATAAAAACTCAAAGCTTCAGTTTCGGTCAACAAATTTCTGTTGGAATCAAATGCTGCCCAGCCTGCTAGGTGCCCAGCCCCAGGTGTCCCCCCACTCTGTCCACAGGGAACAGCGGGTGTTGGTGGGTCCTGCAGCTGGTGTCTGGACATCCTCATATCCTGCAGCCTGACCTCCTTTCCCACTGCTGTCCCTCTCATTCCCGTAGCTTCCTGTGACCTGAGCTGCATCGTAAAGCGAACTGAGAAGCGGCTCCGGAAAGCCATCCGCGCACTCCGGAAGGCTGCCCACAGGGAGCAGTTTCACCTCCAGCTCTCGGGCATGGACCTTGAAGTGGCAAAAAAGTCTCCCAGAACATCTGAACACCGAGTAGAGTCCTGCGGAGTGGGCCAGGGCCATGCAGGACACCAATGTGGTGAGTGACCTGCTGGCCAGGACCTTCTTGCTAACAGAATTGTTTCGATCTCCATGAAGACTAAGGGTAACCCCAAGTGTGGCCTATTCTCCCTCTCTGGACTCACTCCAGAGAACACCCTAGACACCACTCTTACTTGGGATCTATATGTTGGTGTCTGATGTACCTGCTGGACCAGGAGCTCCCCGGCACCTGGCACAGTGTCTGGCTTGTTGGTCGGCACTTAATAAATGCTGGATTGAGGGATGGAAAGGAAGAGGTAGGGTTGATGACAAGAGGGAGTGCTGACCTTAAAGGGTCTGAGTGATGACGATCTTCAGAGCCTTGTGGTCCCAGGCAAGGGGCAGGACTATAGGTGTAAGGCACCCTTGAGCCTTCTGCACGCTCCACTGTCAGTTCCCCATTGTCTCCCTCTGGCTCGACTGATGTTGGCAATGAACAGTGTTGGCAATGAACAATCTCCTGACCATAGTTTTGTGCAGAGGCAAGGCTGGGGTGGGGGTGGGGGGCACTTGGCAGCCTAATGAGATCCCTGAGCTTCAGCCCAAGGCTCCTAGTAGTGTCAGTTCCATATATGGGTGTGTCTGTGTGAGTGTTTCAGAATTAAGTTTGAGACCCAGCATTTGAACTACGCCAATTCTATTTCTCTGATGAAGTTCTAGGCAGGAGGTTTAAGGGTGGTCGGTCTTGAGATTTGTTGGTGAAGAAGAGCTGTTTTGGGCAATAATGTGAGAGTCTAGCTTTATAGGTAATCACTTTATAGTCTCACATTATAATAATCATGGTAATGATTTACTGAGTTTTCATCTGACACAAGTACGACGTTAAGCACGGTATCTGTAGTATCTCCTTTAACCCAGTCATCTTACCAGGTAGGTCTTATTATCTCCACTGAACAGAGGAACAATCTGGAGCTCAGAAGGCCAGGTTCTTTGGCTCTAGATCACACTGATGGTCTGACTCCAAGCCTGTGGTCTGGTCTCAAGTAAGGTGCATTTTGATAACCAGACCCCTCCAGAAAAATTGCTGTCCTTTCTCAAGTGGCATTAGAATCACAAAGCCCTAGAAATGAGGCTTGTGCTAAGGAGTAATAAGCCAGTGTTTTTCAAGAAGCAAAGCTGAGCCCAGGGCACTCATTCAGAAGAGTTGTGGGCAATAACCCCAACTCTGTTGCTTTCTCAAAACGAAGTAAAAATCAAGTATAAAATCAAGTGTAATTGTCCGCCAGGGGCTGGTTTTCAAATAGTCTTGAGTTTGATTCTAGCTAACTCTTTTAAAAAGAAAAAAAAATTAAGAAACAACCCAGCTGGTTGGTTTGTTCTCATTTAAAATTCTAGAAGTTCGTTTCCGTACCAAAATGGTGATGAGAGTTGGCTGTTGCTGCCCTACTTTACGGAGTGAGTTGCAGAAACTGTCAGGGACAGGCAGACCAGTCTTCCTGCTGGCCTCTGAGAGCTAAATTGCATCCCCTTTCCCCATTTGCTATTCTGGTAGAGAGAGGCCTTACGGGCTTGCCAGGGAGCTTTGTGGCCAGCGAAGAAATCAGGCAAAACTAAAGTATTACTAATACTACCATGGCTGTGCTCCCATGGAAAAGGCTCAAGAACGAGGATCAAGAGTTACTTAAACAGAGTCCTCATGACCATGACAACTTGTGAAAGACATTTGGTACGGGGTTTATGTCACTGTTGTGTGTATTAATGTGTCCTGAGATGCTTGTCATGCTAAGTTAGGTTGAATTTGTTGTTGAGAGGCAATGTGTCTTGTCTCAAGAGCTCCCTCTAGCAATGGATGAATTTTGTAGCCCACATGGAACCAAATCAGGTTCACCCTGACAGCAGTGTTGAAGATTTTACCATGTAGAGAAAACAGCACAAAGAATTATCAGTGAAATTTCTTCCTTGGTGAAGGGAGAAAGTGTGTATAAGAAGGGGCTGCATATGTTAATTAGAAAGGTTTTTTTTGTTTTGTTTTTTTTTGTTTTTTTTTTTTCTCAGAAGACACATGCCATGGGCAAGGGGGCAGGGAGTGAGTGAGGGGGGACAGGGGGAGCTTGTCGTATGTTCCTTATATTCCTGGATTATTTGAACATCATAAATCCCAAGCTTACTGGTATTTTCTGAACTCTGGATGGTATATACAGTGGAGACATGCCTAGGATAGTTCTTTTTGGAAATTACTTTCAATGTCAGCAGAAAGGAGCTCCCAAAAACATTTTGAGTCACTGGGAGGAAAGATGGAACCATTACATTTTTCCTTTAAAATATTTTTTATTTAGTTTTCCATTACCAAATTAGCATATGTTTCAAGTGGTACAGAAATGTATACAGTAAGGGTAAAAGCTCTCCTAATCCTACTCTTGGGAAAGAATCCCTGTCAATAGGTTGCTATGTATTTTTCTATATCTGTTGTTATATACATATAAAAATGAAATTTTATTTAGTAAATATTTATTGAGCACCTACTGTGTGTCAGGTACTATTCTAGGAGCTGGGAATCCAGTAATGACACAAAAAGGCAAAAATCTTAGCCTTCCTAGCATTTACAATTCTGGAAGAGGAAGACAGACCACAAACCAATAAAGAAGGAAATACGTGGTGTAGTGGATGGTGATAAGGGTATGAAGGGTAAGCAGGGAAGTGGAATAGAAAGTGGCAGGGAAGGGGGAGGGCTGAGGAAGAACATACTCTCCCCTAATGTAGACTATGGTCAGGGACTGTGGTTGTTGCAAAGTGTCATTTGGACAGAGATGTGAGAGATGGAAGAAGCAAGCTATGGGGATATCTGGGGGAAGAGTCCCAGATGAAGGAAACAGCAAGTACTGAAACCCCAAGGTAAGGGAAAGCAGGCCAGGAAGATAGGTGGGGGAGGGAGGGTAAAGGTGGGACGTCAGAGCAGTAGCCAAGGGCCAGACCAGGTGGGGATGGAAATCTGGGTGAGGGCTCTGACTCTGATTCTGAGTGAGAAACAAAGTCAGCGAAAAGTTTTAAGCAGAGGAGTAACAGGGTTTCTGACTCATGTCTTAAAAGGATAACTGGCAGCTATAGGCTGATGTATGAAAAAAACATTTTTAAAAAAATGTATCAATACAATTTGAATAGTGCTGGGTTGTTTCTAAAAATAGAGTAGATCATTAACATCCTTCCATGCTAATAGAGGAGTTAAGTTTATTTCTTTTAAAGCTTCCTAGTCTGTATTTGTTCTAAGATACTAGTATTTATTAACCATACCCACATTGGTGAACACTTAATTAAATTGTTCCTAATTTTTTTAACAACAAAAAATGCTGCAGTGAATATCCTTTTTTGTGCACGTGGCCTGTAGGTTTGAAATGTCATAGAAGTCTACTTCTACCAAGTTTAACTTGTTTTTCTTAGATTATTAGTAAAACTGAGTATGCTATCATACGTCTGTGGCCATTTGGATTTCTTCTTCTGGGAATATCTGCATTCTTTGCCCATTTTTCCACCAAATTGTTGCTTTTCCAACATCACTTAAAAAATAATGTTAAAGTCCTAAGTTACATCAAAGAACATAATCACTTCTGACCAATAAAACACTTTATTTATTGTACTTATGTTTGCATAGAAAGGTCTCATTCATTTGGCATTTAAGAACTTTGGGGACAGTCTGCTGCAGGTGACCTTTGTACCATCTGTGATCAATTCTAGCTTGATGTCAAAAAAAAAATAGTGATTACATTCTCTGAGGAACAAATTCCTTAAACTCCATAAAATTCACAAAGCCCTTTATACCTAAAGAAAAAATAAAGATGACATGGATTTCTATTTTTTTTCATAGCCATTTATCGTTTTATAAAGGATGAATTATTTAAGGAATATACTTGCCCAAATATATATTTTTATATTTGATTATTCTGAAAACTTGCGGAAATTTTTAGAAGACACAATTCAGGCAACTGGCAAACTGGGAATAATTTTGTGCCTGAGTTCTTGAGAGAAACTGAGAAGGTTTAATTCAACTTTCGACAGCAGTAACTTTCCTCTGCAGCAATTGAGAAAAATTAATTCAAGCAATATTTATTGAGATACCACTCTGAACTTAGGATGAAGCAGTGAACATAATGGGTGAGGAGCTTGCTGTTATGAAGTTCACATTCTAACAGAAGGACATGGACAATAAAAAAGTAAAGAAAAAAATAATTTCAGAAGTTAAAAATGCTATGAAGATAATAATACAGAGGACAGGAGGGAGGAGGGATTACTCTCCACAGTTGTTCAAGAAGGCTTTCAGAGCAGGTGACGTTTGATCTAAGACCTAAATGAGAAGGAGCTAGCCTTGTAAAGCTCTGATGGGGGCAACGGACGTTCTGGCTGAGGAGGGATCACCAAGTGCAAATGGCCTGAGGCAGGAATGAGCCAGACATTTTCTTCTTAATTATTTCAGAATTGAGAAATTATTTGGAATTGAACATGCAGAAATTTTCTTATCTGTTTTAAATCATGGAAATTATAAAGCTTATATTAGCAATATGGACCAATATTAGACCAATACTTATCACACAGACTTGGTAGGAAATTCTTTTATTTTTTATTTATTTATTTTTTTAATATAATTTATTGTCAAATTGGCTAACGTACAGTGTGAAAAGTGTGCTCTTTGTTTTTGGGGTAGATTCCCATGGTTCATTGCTTACATACAAACACCCAGTGCTCATCCCAACAAGTAGTAGGAAATTATTTTCATTAAAAGAGTTTAAAAAACAGAATTTGGCAAAATGTTGACATTTATTGAGCACTTACAATGTGTTTAGCAGTGTGCTAAGCACTTTACATATATTATGTCCTTCAGTCCTCATTGCAAGTCTCTTTTGCATCATGCCTTTTTTACAGATAAGGAGACTAAGACATAGGGAGGTAAGGAGTTTTGCCAATGTCACTCAGCAAGTAAGTGGCAGAGCCAGGGTTCAAATCCAGATCTGTCTCAAGAGCCTGTATTCCTCTCTCAGTGTGAATGCTCTCATTTCCAGGTACAGCCTG